TGACATGTATCCGAGACTCTGCGACAGAGTCTGAACAAAGAATCCCAGTGCGTACTATGCTTTAGTCAATGCTGCGCGACGTTGATTAAAGAATCCCATTTATGATGGGATTCAAAAAATATTAAAACGCAACACACCAGATTCAAGGCTTATTTTCGCGGAGAGTCCCGGATGCATATCTGCCTGGCTATCTGAAAATTATTGTTGCACCGAGGTGTTTATTATTTATTTTATATGCACACGTTTCTGTGGCTAGCAGTTCGGCTTGAAAGATGGTTGTGGTGGGTGAGATAAGCTATTAGCTGGCTTCCTTTTCTCCCATTTTGCTCTGTCGGGTATTTTAAAATAATCTTGTCTGCTTGGAATTACTACCGAAGCTTTTACTGGTTCTTTTTATGCGAGTAGGCTACTGGATCCTGTCGCTGCATTACCTGTGAACTGTGATTCTAAAAGTCTCTCTGGATGAAGATATTTAGTGGTGATTGATTCAGGAAGACTTCCATAATAACAGCATTCGTTCTCATCTCTGAGCAGTACCGAGAATCCTCCATTAGCTGCAATTTCTTCGACGGCCAAACAATCATAGTTAATACAATTTTGAAGAGAGGATGACCCACGGTATACAGATGATGAAACATTACTCACACTTATTACATTTCAACCTGCCGTCGTTTCGAAAAACGATAAACTTTTATTTCAACAGATTAACCTTCAAATTGAACACAGCAGTGGTTTCCAGGGTGCTGTGTTTTCTTAAGTTCCTCGTCTGTTTCTGCTAAAAAAATTAAATTAGCACAGAGTAATGTTACCAATGTGCGTCTATCTAGGATATCAACAAAATCATAATTATTTATAGGAAACTCAACATAGGACTTAAAATGCAGCCTTGCCGAACACGCCAATTTCACAAACACAGGATATATCCGACTACAAACCTTTACAGCAGCGAAGAATTTCCGAGATGGGACGATTTGCAAGAATGAACAGCTTTCCTTGACCAGAAGACTGAAAGTTTCTAGATTTCTATAAAATGCAGTCTTATATCGACCAATCCGAAAGGGGTTGAACACAAATGATACACTGATTTGAAACCCGATCCCGTTTTAAAACGGACTTTTATCCGTATAATTTGGAAATGTTTTGTAATTAATCAAAAACTTATTACAAAGTTATGTTTTTAATTTAAAAAAATATATATTTAAAAAATAATATAAAATATTTAATAAAATTTTTCTAAACAGATAATGACTTTTATACATTTTTCCTTGAACCCGAAATAATAAAGACACTTTGCATTTGATTGATTCTTATTGCATTTTATTAGAAAGAAGAACATCGATTCATTGTTGTCTCATAGACACTTAATTTTGGTCAGATAAAATTTGTGTCTAATGAGTAATGAGTTTAGTTGAAGGGTGTCATTCCTTAGTTCTATATAAAGAGCGAGTAGTAATGCCACCCGATCTGTCAATTTTGTTGGAATACAGCAGCAAATCTTTGGCTCCTATATTCCGATTTTTGTAGGACACCTTTTCTAAATATTTATAATTTTTTTACCATCGTTATCCAAAATTTACATGGATATCTTGATTCTAAATATGCATAAAAACAATATTAGAAGGGCAGTGTCAATGGGCCGGGACGGCAGAGAAGTTGTACAAGAGCACGGTCGATAGGTGTCCGTCGGAGTTACTAAATCGAAGATGATGGATCATTCAAACCAGATGAAGATTAGGCCAGGCGCGGTTGATACACAAACACTTACTTTAGGCCAAAGCCGCATGTATGTCCGACATGAAGAGAAAGATCGATATGTCTAGTTGCTTGATGGGAGCCATTCTTAGTTCCATACAGGGAGCGTATAGGAATGCTGCTAGCATTAGCATGAAGTGTTTGAGTGGCCTGCTCCGATTTTAGAAGAAAATAAGATGGTTTTATGCTATACAATACTATCCCCGAGACTCATCCCGGACGCAGTAAAAAACTGTGACAAAGAGCTCTCCAGGTTGAGTAGAGGAGATGCGACCGTCTAATAGACACAAGAAAGAACACTGCTTCCGTTTGTAATCCTAAAAGCTATATAGCAGCGCAACCCAAGAAGCTGCAAAGAGCCAGACGACTTAGGAGCGGCAAAACAAAGGTACAGACGGTATATTACTACTACGGTATATAGTACTACTACTAATTCCTCTGCAAAGCTCTACTAAGGGCCGAGCAGCAGAAACAAAGAAAGTTCTAGATGGTATATATATATATATATATATATATATAATACTAATAGATACATAGTTGGTTTTGTACATTATTTTGCGAATATTGAGACTGAATGTATTTATTAGCATCGACTCAATAGTCTCGCTAAAGTTGGCCTTTGTTACCTTAATTATTGCCCCAATAGACTCAGAAAGGTCGATTTTATAAAAAAAATTCGCTTTTTTTGCGATTGTTTCGCAAACTTTGTCTTTTACGAGCTTAATTCTTGCCCCCATAATTCAAGAGGGATGATTTTGGTAAAAATCAAATTAACTGGTAAAAACTCTTTTTTTTGCTTAGTCTTGCTAACGTTGTCTTTTGCCAGCTTAATTCTTTCGCCCATCGATTCATGAGAGCCTATTTTAAAAACACGCAAAAAGTCCTCTTTTTAGCTGTCGCTAAGGTTGTCCTTTGCGAGCTTAATTATGGACCCAATCGACTCAGAAATATCGATTTTATTTTTTTAAAAACTGGTAAAAACTTTTTTTTTGTCCTGCTAACGTTGTCTTTTGCGAGCTTAATTATAGCCCCAATACACTCAGAAGGATCGATTTCATAAAAAGCGTGTATAACCTCGACTTTTTTTTCATTTTTTGCATCTAAATTTGTCTTTTGCGACTATAATTGTTTCGCCAATCGACTCAAAAAGGTCGATTTTATTTTTAAACGATATAACCTCGGTTTTTTTTCGTTTTTGTGTTTAAATTTGTCTTTTACAACTATAATTGTTTCGCCAATCGACTCAGAAGGGTCGATTTTATAATTTTAAAAAAAATGTAAAAACTCCTCTTTTGTAGCATTTCTCTCACTAACGTTGTCCTCTGCGAGCTTAATTATTGCCCCAATCGACTCAGAAAGATCGATTTTATAAAAAAAACTGGTAAAAACTCTTCTTTTTTTGCTTTGTCTTGCTAACGTTGTCTTTTGCGAACTTAATTATTGCCCAATCGACTGAGAAGGGTCGGTTTCATAAAAAGCGAGTATAACCTTGTCTTTTTTTTCATTTTTTGCATCTAAATTTGTCTTTTGCGACTATAATTGTTTCGCCAATCGACTCAAAAAGGTCGATTTTATTTTTAAAAAACCGCGCAAAAAGTCCTCTTTTTGTAGCATTTCTGTCGCTAAGTTGTCCTTTGCGACCGTAATTATGGCCCCAATCGACTCGGAAGGGTCGATTTTAGAAAAAGCCGATATAACCTCGGTTTTTTTTCGTTTTTGTGTTTAAATTTGTCTTTTACAACTATAATTGTTTCGCCAATCGACTCAGAAGGGTCGATTTTATAATTTTAAAAAAAATGTAAAAACTCCTCTTTTGTAGCATTTCTCTCACTAACGTTGTCCTCTGCGAGCTTAATTATTGCCCCAATCGACTCAGAAAGATCGATCGATTTTATAAAAAACGTAAAAACTCTTTTTTGAGCGTTTGCCTTGCTAACGTTGCTTTTTGCGAGCTTAATTATTGACCCCAATCTACTTAGAAGAGTCTCTATTTTATAAAAACTAGTACTTTTTAGAGAGTCGATTTTATGAAAAACTAATTAAAAAATCGTCTTTTTTACGTTTATCTCTACATTTCTCCTTTGCCAGCTTAATTTTTGCAAGAATCTATTCAAAAGGTTGTATTTTATAAAAAAACTGGTAAAAACGTTTTTGGTGTTTGTAATGCTCACGTTGTCCTATGCGAGCTTTCTTATTGCATCAATATATTCAGAAGGATCTAGATTATAGAAACCGAGTTAAATATTGAATTTTTTAGCTCTTGTATTTATATCTTTCTCCTTTGCGAGCTTAATGTTTGTGCCAATTGATACAAAGGGGTCGATTTTACAAAATGCAAGTAAAAACTCGTCATTTTTTCTTTTTTCTCGCTTACGTTGTCCTTTTCGAGTTTAATTATTGACCCAATCCACTCAGAATGGCCTATTTTATAAAAAAACGAGAATATTATTTTTTAACCTTGTCCTTTGCGAGTTTAATTATTAAACCTATTGAGTCAATTTTATGAAAACCTAGTAAAAATTCGTCTTTTGTTGCGTTTATCTATTTTCTCTTTTACGAGCTTACTTTTTGCGCCAATCGAATGAAGAGGGACGATTTTATAAAATGCAAGAAAAAAGTCGGGTTTTTTCTTTTTTCTCGCTTACGTTGTCTTTTTCTAGTTTAATTATTGACCCATCAACTCAGTAGGTTCTATTTTATCAAAAAACGTGTATAAACTCTTTTGTAGCTTTTGTCCCACTAATGTTGTCCTTTGCGAGCTTAATTTTTGCGCCAATTGATTTTAGAGGGGCGATTTTATAAAAAAAAAAATAGTAAAAACTCGTCTTTTTGCGTTTATCTCTCTAAATTTATGCTTTGCCACCTTAATTTTTGCAAGAATCAATTCGAGAGATTCTATTTTATAAAAAGCTGGTAAAAACTAGTTATTGTAAAAACGTTGTCCTTTGCGAACTTAATGATTGAGCTAATCGACTCCATAAGGTCTATTTCTATGGTATAAATAAATATTTTTTTTCTTCTCGTACATTTTGAAGCTTGGGAGTTAGATTTTTTAGATATGCATGGAAATTTGCGTTTACGGAATATTTCACAGTATAAATCTTTTATTTTTATTGAGTCATACTCAAAACATAAATTATTTTTCCTTTACCAAGTTAATATTTATTTTGTGTGCAGATGGCCTTTGCCATTTTTTTAAATAAAATATTTTTAATAATATAATAGTAAAAATAATAAATAATAATAAATTTTTTGAATATAAATTCAGTCATTTAATACTCAGATTGTACAAAGTTTTGTATGGAAGAATGCAACAAAAAAACTATGAAACAATTCAGGGCAGCAACAAAAATTCATGTTTTTCTCTAGTGCTATTAGACAAAATTGTTTAGAAATGAAAGGGGGTAGAAACGGGACTAATAATGTAAGAACAATTTTTTTCATATTATTTATCAAGAACTCTATATAATAAGGAATATCAACTGTATGTTTTAATGTCATAGTATCTAATATTTTGTATGCAAAAATAATTAACTTGTTTGCAATATAATCAACAGGTTCCCGTATTTATACTCTTCACAATTTTCAGGTGATAAAAAAATGGAAATTACAAATATTTAAATCACGTTTTTTGTCTAAAAGGCACATTGGAACTTTACAAATATAAACCATCCCAAAAATGTCGGAATCCAGTTTCTTTCTAGGGTAAGTAATCGTCATTGATCTTGCAACGTAGCAGTGTTGTCTTCATTAATAATACTAGAATTTTCATCACATTCTGTGTTGATAAATTTCTCTTTGTTGTTCTTCCTAAAATAAACATAATTAAAATGTATTGTATAATAATGCTAAACTTTATAGTAAATATTGTTTCCCTTGGGTAATTTATGAAACATAAATTAATCCAGCGCTCTCTCGCTAATCTGAACTTTGGAACGCTAAACATTCCAGTATTCCGAACTGGACAAAACTTCAAGAAGAATTTTAAAAGAAACAAGTGAAACATTATTTGCGGAAGGGGAGAAAAAGATAGGTGGAGGGAGAGAGGATAGGAAGGGTGAGAGAGGGGGAGTGGGAGGGAGGGAAGGAAGAATGAAAGTGTGTGAAAGAAAAAGAATTGGGGTAGTAGAAGGGAAGGGGTGTGAGTGAGTGAGTGAGTGAGTGAGTGAGTGAGTAGTGAGTGAGTGAGTGAGTGAGAGAGAGAGAGAGAGAGAGTGAATTGGGGAGAGTGAGAGAGAGGAAGGCAGGGAGGGAGAGTGTGTCATTGCGAGAGAATGTAGGTGAGATAGTGAATGAACAAAAGAGAGAGAGCGAGTGATTGATGAGTGAGTGAGTGAAAGTAAGTGAGAGAGAAAGAGTGAGACCGTGTGTGAGAAGAGCTTCGAGATGGCCACACCAAGCACTCAATTCCAACTTCATTCAGGTAGTCATCCAAAATACATGCTATGGGACCTGGGATTATCCTGCATTAGCAAGAATCTCTCACCGATGTGGGGGGCAAATGACGTGGCACTACATGTCCTTTATGTCTTGTAAGTACTAATGCAAAGTTAGAAATCTTCCTCGCACAACAACCAATTCGGTGTGGGCATCCAAGGAAATGCCACCCCAGAACATCAATGACCCACCGTGGAATACCACATGAGGAACCATACAGCATGTGGTAACCTTTCTCCTGAGCGCCTCCATATGAAATTACACCCATCTGAAGATTTGAGGCCAACTCTCACCTCACCTGTAATGAGAACTCATCCCCAATCCACATGTCCATCCATGTCCAATTCACATGTTCCCATGTGAACTGAAGCCTGGCCATTTTCTTAGCTAGGTAAGAAGAGATCCGCGAGGTGCCGGGCCCTGAGGTTATTTTCATTGAGCCTTCTTCTTACAGTCATGGAGGAAATTGAAACGGAAATTGAGTCTTATGAGATTTCTTATCTTATTTTCCATAATGCTGCGATTTCGTAGAGCCTGATGATGGATGAATCTATCATCTATTTCGTCTGTAGACAACTTCAGACCGAATAGAGCCTTCTATTGTGAAGCCCTTTTTCTCCGAAGCACCAAAGAACCCTTCCTATTGTGGAGTGATTTACACTCCGTCTCCTGACAATTTGTGCTGGCTGTTTCCTTCCTCTAATAATGTTATGATCCTGATACTGTCATAATCACTCAAATGCTTGACTGGAGCCATTCAAAAAGGTTAAGAATAGGAGTAATATTAAATGAAGTAAAGGAAGGAAAATGATTAACTGAAAGCAAACTTTATGCATAGCAGAATGGAAAGGCATAATGCCATTTTTTTGTGAAAATGTGAGCGATCAGCACAAAAGTAACCAAACAAAACATTATTTACTGTTCATTTTGACTACGATAGCTCCTAATTGCCAAGGTAATGGATTTAATGTTAACTAAATAAATTAAGTGGTGCGTTAAATTTGTCCATCAGTGTATATGTGTATATTATTTTAACAATTTCTGTAATCCTACTTTTTCAATAATCCAAATACCAATGATTAGTTCGGATTATTGAGAGAGCACTGTAATTCATGAATCATTCACTAATCTAATGCTGTTACTTCCTTTCAATTTAATTTGTTACCTCTTTTTGTGCGGAGTTAAAGATTCTTGCCCGCTGTCATCACTTTCACTGTCATAACTAGTTGTAGAAGAACTACTACAAGATGTAGAAGAATCTGAAGCTACTCCAGTGGCCAACTGGACGTCAATACTGTCAGCTGTAAGAGCTAATTCTGGTTCTACAGTCTGGAACAAAGCATAAATTTTAAAATAATTGGTTAAATTAAATTCTAACAAAATCTATTTCAAGTCATACCCTTGAATAGGCACAATGTTTATTATATATAATGAATAAATTGTTTTAGCTTGATCAAATAAAATTGAATAATAAATTAATTTTATTTAGGTGGTAGTCATAGAGGGGAGTGCTAGTTCTCTGCCATATGACCATCAGCTCTCAAGGAACACTAGGTAGAGAGGGACAAGGTACAATAAGCCTAAATAGCTGCCAGGCTTCAGTAAACACAAACGAGACCAACCTCTATTACCAAATCAATAAGTCAGTTGTTACCTTTAACACCCTGTACCATTTCCGAGCTAACTTTGGCCTGCCTCTGACTGTTTTATGCCATACAATAGGAAAATTTGTTCTACTACAAAAGTTCTGGGTGACTGCTACAGTTGTGTCTAGGTTTAGAACGACATGCCACCATCCTCCTGGTACAAATACTGTTTCACCTGGGTTTTGCAATATTTCCACCTAAACACACAATAAAATAAGTTTTTAAATAAATCTGACATTATACAAGAAAATATCAGCCAAAATCAAATGTATCAGAGGTGAATTAGCTCGATAGTACTGATTTTGAATTATGTGAAGATAAAACAAAAAAAATGAGAGAATGAGTTATTATATTTAAAGAGCAATTGAACCACATGAGGATGTTCTTGTTAATCCTTGAATGGATTCCCTAAAACCAAAGCCACTTGGCCACAGCCCCACATTATGAATAAAAAATATGCTTAATATTAAAAGACGTTATGGTCAATTTAATTTTCATACTTTACATACCGGCTTACAATCTTGTGGCCAACTTGGAAGTTGCGTTCTAGGATAAATGACAGAAAACCAGGTTATAGCTTCATCCCTTTGATGTCCTCCTTCAGCATAAGTAACTTTTAGCAAATTTTTTGGTGTATGTGTAGGAAACAAACACCACCTGCAAATAATCAACTTACTATTATTATAAAAAGGAAGGTGAAATGGTACTTTGGTTAAAAAATTAACTGTTTGCATTTTTTGTCTTTTTTCCACTGCCACAGCTGTAAACTTAAGGTCTCTGTCACGAACTGGAGGCAAACGGCAGGTCCAAGGCCCAGCAAGAACAAAAATGGTTTACCAGTAAGCACCTCTTCCAATTATACCTTTCACGAATCGTTACAAACAAAAAGCCAGTAGTTGGTCATTTTTTATCATTTCAGTCTGCCTATCATTCATACTGAACCGGTATAGGACGGAGTAAGTAACCCTTTGCCAGTTCAACATGGGTTCACCAACTCGCAGACCAATACTCATCATCAACTCTGCCTATCAGCTGCTTTAATCTATCAGATGTGTTTCAGCATTTTGCCATCTTCAGTGTTGCGTCTATCCAAAAAAGTACCTGTTCTGTAATTCTGCAAGGACCGATTCCATCTCTCATGAGATCCCATGAATCAAAAAACTTTTTTTTGATGACTATACTGTGGGAGGGAGGAATTTAAGCCACCAAAGACACAATCATACTTTAGTTAACAACACATGCAACTTATTAAAGAGACTTGGCTTCATAGAAATCGCAGACACAACACAGAAGATGGTAAAATGCCAAACAACTAATACACCAAACCAGGAAGGATTACAGACCAACATTACTAGTAAGGATGAAATTATAAATTCATCAATTCTTTCAATGTCCGTTAGCTCAGGATATAGATGAAGATCAATGTTCAGTTCTTGAATAGATCAGGTCAAACCAGACAACTGTCATTAACCCAACCAATGTAGATAAAATCTTTACCTTAAAATTGAATAACTGCACACTGAGGGAACTAATGCAGTGCAGTGAAATATCTTGGGGTCTATAACAGAAAACTTGGAAGTTGGGATGCAACAAGAAATTAAGCACTTTCTGTTATCAGCATCAAAAACTATGTTCAACTTGCATAGATAAACACTAGCAAAAGGCAGAAGTTACATTAGAGCCTAATCAGATGGAGAAGCTATTCATCAGCTTCAGAAGTCACATCGTTTTCTGAGTTTGGTAAATCGTAAAAATGTTCTCCTAATGACAGAACAAAGGCACACATTTCATGTTAGACCATATATTTTTAATTTTTGTTACATCCTAGTATCAGTAAAAGTAAAGGTTTCTAAAGAAATGTATAAGACTTAGTTTTTATGCCCACCTTTTATGCCCGAAAACTAATGCATTCCAAGCAGAAGTACCAAGCGGATCAATGTGTATTCCTGTGCCAGACCTTGCTGGACCCATAACAAACCACCGATACGGAGGTCTTCTACTTTCACCACATAAATGAAACAGGTCATCTCTGAAATAGTAAGGAATGTCATAATCTTCTAATAGTTTTCTCCTCCTCCTATCCTAAAATAACATAAAGCAATTTTTTTAATTATTTCAATAGTTTTGGAATTTCATATTCTGTTTGGTAATACAGTTTGTAAAACATTACCCCAACTCAATGAATGATGAGTGCGGGAGCAGAATTCACCACAAAAGTGTGGTCTTGCCCCTGATTAAGAGGACAAATCCATTTGTTTTACTTGTTTACTAAAACCAGTGTAGTGGAGTTTTTAGATCAAGAAGCGCATATCGGCATGGTAAGTAAAAGCATATTAAATTAAAGCATACAGTTGTACAAGGCAGGGCAACATATTAAAGCACAAGAATTAACTGAGGTGTAGCTGGCGAGATTTACTTAATTCAGTGCTGGTGACCTGCATGAAGGCCAAGCCACCGTAGATGACCTGCATAAGGTCATGATGCCATAATGTTTCTGGGAATAGAAAATTTTTGCCATCTGGGAGGGGGAAAATAAAAAACTGAACGTGTTAAGGGGGTCAACCAATTCTCGGATTCTTTTTATTCACTCCATTCTTCCTTTAATATCTCGTGAACTAATGGTCCATCCAACAACATGATCGGTTTCATTTTATTCAAGCCTTCTTGTGAAAATTTTGGTTATAAGATTTAATGCCTATAGTTGTTATGTTAAAAGCTAGCGTTGATGAACTGTCTGAAAATGCATTTCAAAAAATTGATTTTTTCAAGACTCCAATACAAAGGACTACTCAAGACTTTTTTTTGGAAATTTTGTTTTCCACATTTTTGTCACAGGTTCCTCTTCAGTCCATCAACGCTCAGTGGGCTCATTTTCGTGGCGGCTTCTCTCTTCTAAAAATCAGGTAAAACGGCGAACCCTTGGGATAATAAATAAAAAACAAAGATAGCTATAAAAATAAAATAATTATGTCCTCTGTAATGCTAAAAAAGGAAACAAAACAAGGTCTCTTCTGGAATAAAAAAAACCACATGGTCTGAAAACAAATTCCCATCATCCTGGTTCTTTCCCATCTCATTGCAGCACGTTCCTCTCCTCGCACATGTAAACTCGAGCCTCCAGGGCTGGGAAGTCTAAGGACAAAAAGCAAAGTCCTCCCCCCCCCCAAAAAAAAAGACAAGTTCTTTTTATATTTGTCCGTGCTGTCACGTTCAAGTTTGAGCTTCGCCAGCGTGACCCACCGAGTTCTGATTGCTCAGCTGGTTGGGCCTCCTATGGCCCCCGGGCCGCCTGTGCATCTTCGGCCTCTTGCCAGCCACGGGACCCCGTATCCGTCCAAAAAATGTTATTTTTCATCACAGGTTTTTTTTTCATTTATGTTTGAATGTAGAATTTTTGAGTGTGCTTTTTCTGACATATCATTTCGTTGTTACCACACCATACTTCCGACATTGAGATATCTCTGCAGGAGAGCAGGGTTCCTGTTTAATTGGCATTTATCCATCCACATACATCATTCTGATCTGTACAAACCTTTCAATTTTTAAATCACTTCTGGTGCTCAACATTGCAAATCAACCAGATGCAGAAGAAATTCTTGTTTACTTTTAAAAAATGACTTTTTTTTAATGTCAAAATTGGTTGACCCCCTTAAGAAATACTATATTTTCTTCTAACATCTTCTTTGTCAATGTATATCAATGAGAATATCAATGTGCAAGGGACAATTTTTTCAGCCTGTTTCAAAAGCAACTGTTTAATTAAATAATAAAAAGTTGAATTAAAGGATATAAGAACAAAAAGTGTACAAAAAAAATATAGATTGTCATATTTAAAGCAGTGCCTTGCCAGAGAATGTTGCACAAAAAAGGTCAAACCAAGCGAGCCTAGTGACAAGCGAACACTGGAAGACTAGGAAAATTTCACCCGAAAAATGTTAATCTATCATTTCATTGTTAATAAAAAGTAACAAAACAAAAGGAAAATGCAGAAGGAAAAGGGGGGATCATACACACTTACTTCTCCAAAACCGCTGTCAAATATGTATAAAGGACTGTCATCCATTGTTGTTGTCAAGTAATCGATGAAGTATTTCATCTTTAATTTAACACTATACCCTTGGTTATCTTCTCCACACTTGAATTTTTGGTTTCTGTATTTCTTCTTGAGCCTCTACAAGACGATTTGATAATTAATCACATAGGAAAAAATATTAAACTCCTTGTATACTTACATGTAATGTCCATTTGTTATTTGCATTCCAATGACGTTGAGCACCAACAATAACGACAGGTTTATATGGTTTTTCGTATTTTTCAATGAATTCTTCTTTGCTGACTTCATTTATATTTATGCGAGTCATTTGATCGTTGACTAAACAAAAATTGTGAAATTCATTGGCGTACTGCATCGAACTCCATGCCCATTGGTCACGATCACTTAATTCTAATTTTGGAAGAGGAAAAAGTTTTAAATTGTTATTACATGTGACTCCATAAAATAATACCTGGCCTAGCTCGTTTTTTAGCATCTATTATTCGTTTTTTTGCCCTTGAACTAGGATCTGAAGCCAAAATATTATCTAAAATGAAAAATTAAACAAAATAAATTACCAGAACTTGAAAAGTGCACCCAAAAATAATTGAGGGTCCCTCTTCGCTTATCTTTATTTGTAATTAAGGTAATGTTTTGCATTCACATAGGATATGTTCCAATTTTTCTTGAGAGTAAGCAGGTGTCTATCACATTTTTTCCAATTTTTTGAGGTGGCAATTAAATGAGCAATGGCCAGTGCGGGAGGCTTATCATCCAACCACCGTCATGGACAAGAGATCAAACCACTTTACAATACATTTTTTCATACTATTTTAAATTAAAAAACCATGGGCTATAACGGGATTCGAACACAGAACCGCTAATGTGTCAAACAAGAGTTGGACTCCCAACCACTCAGCCATCGTAGTCCCCTGCAATGGTCAGTTTAAAGACATATTGTTTTCTTTAATTCTTGTCTTCTGAGAGACAGGTAAAGTTTTTTCCTGGTCCTAGTCCAAAGGGTGTAAAGTTTGTTTGCCTAGTTTGTTGCCTTCAATCCCCTCATCACCTACACCAAAATTATCTTATTTTGTTTTACCAGGAGTTGGAGATTTGTCAGGCTCAGACCAGCTTAGACTTGAACAGCCGTCAGTGCTTGGCTCTCTGATAATAAATATCTATAGGGGGGGGGGGTCAGTGGCCGCAACGGTTTAGGCATTGACATGGCGCTCATCACTGTAAGGTAAAGGTCGCGGGTTCGAATCCAGCGGCCCTGCATTCGAACCCAACATACTTACAAATGGTTTTTTTCCAACCGGCACCCTGAGGGTTTATATGACCTCTGCTGTTGCGAACCCTCGTAAAAAATAAAATAAAATAAATATTTATGCACCTTTTAATCAATTTGTAAGTATTTCTTGTACACAGTTTGAAAATTGATGGTGTGGAACCTAGAGGTTTCGCTAGGTCAAAATTTTAGATTTTCAACTCCTGCCCCCACCCCATGTTTCATTTTAGTCCCATCTGTATGCGGTAATAAGTCCCCTCTAGTTTCAGGATTTTTATTCTTCCAAACATCTCTTGAAGTTTTTATTTAGAAGGAACAGGGTTGTCCACTGATTTCTCTTCAGAATTTTTTTAATTTTTTTTTTATAGAAATTATTGTAATAAGCAAACTATTTATGTCAAACCTCTACTTTTTTCTTTTAGGTTTGGAGGTCTCATAATTAACAAAATCAAGTCTAAAAGTCAAATTAACAAATAGCAGAAGAATTGCTCTGATTGGCTGTAGAAAGCCTTGATAATTTGAGCTATTTTAAGCACTGATCTTGAAATTATTTATCAACTAAATAATATTCTAGTTAGTCATAGATTCAAACAAAGAAACTTCTTTGATAACAGCACTCGATAAAAACAGAAAATCAAAGAAAGAAGGAATTTTAAAAAACTCGATGACGAAGTTTAATCTTGAGCTTGGCTAACTGCTGATGTAATAGTGCATAAAATCAATTACAACTGTTCACAAACGTAATGTACGATTAAAGGGGCATGAAGATTACCTGAAAGATTAAAAAATTAACACAAAAGAGAAGCCCATGCAAACCTATTAAAAAGATGGATAAGATTTCTTTACTAGCAAAAACCTTGGCTAGATCAGATATTTAATGTAAAGACAGTATTAAACTGGAAAAGATTATGTAAATTAAAATATGGCAGATTAAAAAAAATTGGAGACCTAGTGGTTCTGGTTTGAATCCTGCCATAGCACTTTTATTTGAGAATTTTTTTTTTTTTTTTTAATTGTTAAGTATTTATGAAACTTCATCTGTGATGTGTAATGGATAGTAAGATATTAGGCCCTCCTGAATGTACTAAAATAATACAAAGAATTTTTATTTTTACCATTTTATTAATCAAATGAGCAGTTTTTTGTACTCAGTTTTTATCATCCCTGGTTATCCTTGTTTACCATTTTGGCTGTAGGATGGCACAATGGTAAACGGTGTGGTATTGTGTTTCAGTATGGACCTGTAGCTTGATTCTTTGATCATCCTGATCTGATTTCCTCTGACAGATTCAACCAGTGTACAAGCAGACCAAGATGATCAGAGGCAATCAAGCTGTAGGTAAAAGGGCAAATTCTATTGCAGTTAGCAAGGGTAGCACGAGTATGGAAACAGATCATTCGAGCTGACTATGATTTTGTCATTATTTATTTTGTTTTTAAATTAAATAGCAAAATTTAAAATATTTTATTAAACAACAGCATACTCGAACATTCCAACTACATGGCAGTTAGCAAAACTAGTACAGATTGTACAAACATTGTGCACGTCATGTACTATTCAGGGTGTGTTTTACATTAAAATAAAATTTGGTACGCACTCAATGCCACATTTTCATTTCAAGTGATGTAAACATTTCACTTTAATACAACAGCTGTTGTATATGTAATATGCCCCAATAGTCCCACTCGACTGCACACATTTCATAATTTTCAATATCATGCCTCCATGCATATAATTTTTTAGATATTTTAGTGTTAATTTTCATTTACTTATTGGACCACCTAATTGTAAAATTTGAACTAAGAAAAAAAAATTATAATTGTACGAATTTTTTACTTTTTATTAATTTTATTTTTATTATATACTAGCTTTTACCCACAACTTCGTCCATTGGGACTCTTTTTTAATGTACCTTTCTAATATAATGTCTCGTTTCTCAAATTCTTCTCTTCTTCAGTTCACTTCAGTCTATACATGGTAAAAAATTGTCCAAATTTTTTCCATTCCTATATGGATGCAATTTCAAAAAAAACTTTTATAGAGGCTATCCATGTCATTATAGGAATGCACCGTCAAAATTTCAGCCTTTTATTAAATCCAGCAGTTTGGTCTGTGTGTTGTCTGTCAGACAGTCACGGAACTGTTACATACATAGGAAGGGATTGAATTTCAAAAAATTCTTTCTTAGCGGCTATCCAAGTCATAGGAATGCATTGTTGAAATTTCAGTTTTTTTTAAATCCAGCAGTTTGGTCTTTGTGCTGTCTGTCAGACAGACAAGGAAATGTTTTATAAATATAAATAGGGATGGAATTTCAAAAAATCTTTTCTTAGTGGCTATCCATGTCATTACAGGAATGCACGGTTAAAATTTCAGTCCTATAGATCCAACAGGTTGGTCTGTGCAATATATATATATATATATACAGTGACTCACATATTTGTTCACATCAGTAAACAATTTTCTATTATCTCTAGTTTGCAAATCCCGTATTTTTTAATCCAGACAACAGCAATAATATTGAGTTCGTTGAACTGTTGGTAAACAAACATTCACCCTACTAATCTTTATTTATGTTTATACCTTTGAATTGAGCCAGTTTATTACGAGTCTTCGTGTGAACAGTTTTGTGACTCGGGTTACTTCATTGCAAATTTCCCAAAAACCATTCAATAATTTGTCTCAAATTTGTTATCAGGTATCGTCAATTTAGTTATTTTTCTTACATATTGAAAATATTTCCTTTCCTTAATGGTTATGATCTATTCCGTTTAATTACAGTATGAAGCCATTTTCAACATTTTTGAAAGATCAAATAATAAAATCTCTACAAGAAGGACTTCCTTATTGTGAAATTTCAAAAAAATATAAATTGTTATTATTGTGGTAATAACAAAACCTAAAAGATCTTCCAGAATTTACGATAGTTGTTTTAAAAAGAAGAGGAGTGGTCATAAAACAAAATTTTCTGAAGCCAAAAGGCGTTGTATCTATACTCCGTTCGGTCAGGACAGGTTGACAAGGCTCTAAATTCAGCGTAGGCCGTGTGATAATGATAATATGGATGTCAGTGCTGAAACAAACGGAGATGTTTACGTGAGGCCGGATTAAGAGCGACAGGAAAAGTGAAGAAACCATAGCTGACCAAACAGTGGCTTGCTAATCATCTTGCTAATGGAATGGCCCCCACAGTCACCTAACCTTAATCCAATTGAGCATTTGTGGGGAAAACTAAAAATATCTTTAGCCGATGCTGCCGGAGACGCTTCAAACTTCGATCAATGTTGGGAAAAAACATAAGTTGAATGGGACCTAATTGATCCAGAACAGTATAGAAATCTCTTGAGAAGTATGCCCAGAAGGACTGATGCAGTTTAGAAAGCCAAAGGAGGACATACAAAATATTAAAGGACTTTCTATGCCACAATCATATCGTTCGCACATGGTAATTTATTTTATATTATTTTAATAATTATGATAAAGGAACAATTTAATTTTTTGGGGTTTTTTTGTGTTAAGATAAATAAAATTATTAAAAAAAATTACATTTATTTGATGCCCTACAATTGTTTTGTAAAGTAAATAATGATATAACCGAATTTGCATTCAGCTGTGAATGAATCTGTGAGTCACTGTATATATGTATATATTCAATTAATTATATACAATTTTTCAAAATGAAAAATTTGTGTTGCAGGCAGGATCCGAACCGACGATCTTTGGATCAATACTCCATTCTTCTACCACTTGAGTTAAGGTGACTCTAAATGCCCAGGCCACAATTTTATAATTTTGATTTGTGTACAGTTGTGCCCTGACATATCCCCCATCCAATTTTTTTTTTTTACACATTTCATAATTTTTCCTATCATACCTCCATTCATATAATTTTTTAGACATTTTAGAGGTATTTTCATTTTAATTAACATACCACCTAATTGTAAAAATTAGCAACTTGAATTAAGAAAAGAAAAAATATTTATCATTGTACCATTTTTTCCTTTTTACTATCATTTTTATTTTCAATGTATGCATATTCAATCAATTATACACGATTTTTTTAAATGAAAAATTTGTGTCACAGGTGGGATTCGAACCAACAATCTCCATATAAATATTTCGATGCTTTACCACTAGAGCTACTATGACTTGTATCGCCCTCGCCACAACGCACAAAGGAGCCGCTATTTGCTTACAATTGGAATAAATGGGAAATAAAGGTGAGAAGTTTGTGACAGTACGTTGTCCATTCTGGCACAGGCGATCAAAGTCGCGTTAGCTCAAGTGGTACAGCGTTAAAGTATTTATCCGAAGATTGTGGGTTTGAATCGCACTTGGGACACAAATGTATTATTGAATATATTGATCATTTAATTAAATTAGGTACAGCAAGGGTGTACAAAGATTAGTTTTTGATGAAATGTAGACTACCTTCCGCCAGTACCAAGGCTCAAATGTTGACTGGTTGTGTCAACAATGACCAGTCAACATATAATTGTTCTAAGTTTTGTCCTGCTTTGCCACAGCAGGTCTGGACCATATGACAACGCCTAACATAAAAAAGGAACCACTTTTAAAAAATTATCCATCTAAAATCCATACAAGGTAAACAATTTTCCCAATATGATTTGCTACAAATGCAATCTTTTTCAAGTTCGTAACTCCGCGGATGATTACAGAATATTAACTCGTACTTATTATTAAAGACTCAATTTAAATGATATTACCATCTACAAAACTGGATTCGCTCAGCCTTCTTTTGGAGGGGTTTTCATTTTGGTATTGAGTTCCTTGCATCCTTCCAAACAAATCTTTTTTTTTCAACTGAACAAAACACGAAACCTCAACCAACCTCTCACCACAGTGCATTAACACTTCTTCCTTACCGCTAAAGGCTTCGATGATCGAATCGTTTATTTCATTTATAATCGATTAAAACGTAACTTTTCGTTTTGCGGGATTTAAGTTAAAGTTTTAATACATTTAGGCGATTTTTCTTTTCTTCTGGAATACATTTAAATTGTGAAATTGAGAATATGCACAAGTCACTATAATGACATTGTATATAGATATACAATAATTAATACAATAACTATAATGATATTGTATATAGATTGTATATTTTACTTTACTATATTTCTTTTTTTTCTGTTTCAGGTTGAATCTCAAGATTAGATTTTTGGGTAATTAAACACATATGTACAAAAAGGAGTGTTTCCTGGAAGTTCGGATGGATGCAGGGGTATCAGGATATACAGGGCAGAAGGGCAACGAGGACCCCCATAAATTGGACGAGTTCAGTCAAGACACCTATCAGCCCTGAACACTTTTACAGCATACCAAACTGACAAAAATGCAGATCCATCAGAACTAGGAAACCTATGACGTGTTAGAACTAGAATGATAGTAGGACACTACACAAACTTGAGGCATATCATAGACTAGGATTAGCAGAAACTAAATCACCCTAGATATTAAAGAAAGATGGGATATTAAAGTTTCGATGAGTACACTATCGGCCCTGAACCCTTTTGCGACATACCGAATTGCCAAACAGCATCCATGAGGCAACGGGTTAAGAATAAGTCCTCGGAATGGGAATTCCAGATTAGAGGCATGCTTTAACGCATCGCAGAAACTAACAACAGAACTATTTAACCTAGGGCCTGTTAGGACTAGAATGCTAGTAAGACTGCTGATTGAACACAGCAGACTCAGGAGGCATATGTAGACTCACAGATATTGCCAGGAAGAAGAAGAAACAACGGAAGCCCTCAGGAAGTGCTATGGCCTATATAGAAAGATATTTGTTCTTCTGAAAGAGTTAAAGCCTGAAAGACAATCACAAAAACTACAGGTAGAGCTACTAAACCTCAGACTAGAATAATAGTGGGACACAGCAGACTATAGTCATAGATTTGGAGCAACAGAAACAAAATCACCCTCGGTATCAAATATAAATTTACCAAAGAAGAAGACATCTTTCGACCCTAACCTTTTTTGTGGCATACCAAATTGCTAAAAACATAGATTCATGAGACAATGTGATAAGATCCCACGGTTCATAGGGAATTCCAGGGACAGAGGCATGCAAATTTCATCAAAGAACCACTGTAGAAACTAATGACAGAACTACTAAACTTAGGATGTTTTAGGACTAGAATAATAAATAGAAAACTACACACCCCAGAAAAGAGTCTGCAGATACCTCTGTTGGAATTCCTATAAATAAAATCACCCTTGGTCATTGGCAAGGAATTAATTGACCAAAAGAAGTTCAGAGAGGAAAACTATCGCCCCTAAAGCCTGTACAGATATTCATTCTCCTGGGAGAGTAAGGGCTGAAGGATGAATAGGAAAATGACCTCAGTTCAAAGAGAATTCCATTTACAGTTATGCAAAAATTTCATCAAAGAACCGTCATAGAAACTATGGCAGAACTACTAAACCTATGACGTTTTAAGACTAGAATGATGGTAGGAAACTACACTCATTCGAGACTAGGAGGGGGAAAAACCAAAATCACCCTTGTTTCGGTACCAGGGATAAATCGGCCAAGGAAAGTTCTATCAGAATACCTATCTGCCCTGAACCCTTTATGGCATATCACATTACTAAAAACCTAGATACTTCAAGCAATGTATCTAGGAATCCTTAGGAATAAGTGCTTGGCTCAATGGATTCCTAAGAGGCTTAGGGTTCAGTTTCATTTAAATAGTACATTAAAGAACCATGGGAGAGCTACTAAACCTAGGATGTTTGAAATATTAGAATACTAGTACACTACAGACTCGGGAGTCATATGATTGTGTAGATTTGAAACAGCAGAAACAACCTGTGCAGATATTGCCAGAAAGAGAAAACCTTAGAAGAAGAAACTGTCCTCTGTTGCTGCTTAAGGGTGATATTCCTACTCCTGGGAGTGGAAAACCCCAGGACTGAAGGACACACACGATAGCCCTTAACAGACTTGTGATCTTGTAAAATATCTTAAGCTAAACGAAAAGCTCTAGAGTCTAGACAATGATGGAGACTGCAGACCAATATTGGTCGCTCAAAGGTCGTCACGTGCACATCCTTTTAACCTTTAACCCTTAAACGTATTTTTGATTTATAAAATTATCCAAAAATGTATATTCTTGGTATGTGCTGTTTTTCGACCTCAGTCTAGTACAATTTGCTGCATGCAGTGCAAATGATTACAAGTTACGTAGAAAAGAGATTCATAAGAACAGTTTTCGGTAAAATAGAACAATTAATTGTCCTTTTAAATCAAATCCGACGAAAATGCGGGTTTTTTTGTAGTCTGTCGATTAAGGGAAATCGAGTTTTTAACAAACCTTCACTTAACAAGGGGGGAGGTTCTGACTTGTCGAGGCGAGCTATGTGAAGAGTTATGCTTTTATAATTTATGTTAAATATTATCTGCGGTCTGTTTTCTTTTGATTTTACCCTTTGAAAATATAAAATTGAACAGATAAGACGTCAAAGCGAGACAAATGGACTGGGACGATAGATACGAACAGCTTACGGTATACTGGCAACAAATATCTAAATATTTCTTTAATTTTTAACCGATGGAATCACTTTTTTCGAAAAACATGGCTTTGATTCTTTAACTTCCTCGATTCGGATCAGTTACATTTTAATTTACGCTTGCATATTTATTTATTTTTTAACAGAAAAGCTTACATGACCATAGATTCTTTTAAAAGTTCATTTTTGGTTTTAAAAAAAAACAGGATTGTAAAATAAATGGTCTTTACACATCATTTTGGTCTTCCTAGTGTCTTGTAACCTTAAGACACATACACAAAGCTGAAAATGGCAAAATTGGTCTGACAGAACAACCCAATGAGGATTGTCTGACCAAAATGATTTGTATCAACCCAATTTGTAGTTCACCCCCTTCCAAAAAATCTCATAGTTTAAAAAATATATTGATATCCTCTTTTTACATGACACGTTCAGTGGTGAACTGTATAGCCATACATTTATCAAATGATCATTTTCAACAAAATATTTTCTTTTTGTATAAAATGAAGTGAGAAAATTTAATCTCAATGGAATCCCCAGAAGAAGCAGGTTAAAAGAAATACAGTCGGATCAATTATAGATTGGCAGAAAAGATACTGGGATGAACTGCAAGAAACTTCTATGGAAGGAAATACTTAATTTAAGTTCTTGATTTACTTGTCAAATGAGGGAGGACTGAAAAAATTCAAAATTTCAGATTTGTCGCTTACGGTGAATAATAAGCTTTTTGCCCTATGGACTCCCAAATATAGATTATAGGATGCTTCAGGCTTTTTTCAATCCTGGTAGACTTGATAGTGGCTTCTCCTTTATGTTTACTGGATTGAGCTTTTCTTCACTCACAAGTTTTGAATTGTGATGTATGATGCACCAGCCTGGTAGACAACCTTACTTCAAGTTCAAAACGCTCTGGATACTAATCCAAAACAATTTAGTTGAAGCTTTTTTGAGGGTATCAGAGGGGCAACAAGGAGGCATCTTTTGCAGAATACCAAATGACCAAAACCATAGGTGGAAAAGTTCATCAAAGGACAATTGCAGAAACAAACAGCATAACTACTAAATCTAGTATGTTTTAGGGCTATCATGGTTGTAAGACTGCTGTCTGAACACAGCAGAATCTGAAGGTATACGTACAGACTCACAAGTAGAAACGAGCCTGTGAAGATGTTGCCAGAATGAAGAAGAAGCAATGGAACAAGTCCTCTGGTAGTGCTAAAGCGTATATTGACAAACAACCTAAAGATAGAGCTTCCAAACCTAGGATAGGAATGATATAAGGATACACCGGACTCTAGAGTCTTTTGTAGAAATTCTAAGAAGATCCTTGGTACCAGGGATAAATAGGCCAAGGAAAATTCATCAGTAAACGTATTGGCTGCGAACTCGTTTGTGGCATACCAAAATGCTGAAAATTGATATGTTGATCAATTTGCAGATGTTAGACTGACATACTTTGTAGAATTGTACATTTGTGGCTGGCTGATGGTGATTAAAGAGCCTTAGGTCTATTTCTTCCAGATATGGATTATAGCTCACTTCAGACCTTTTTCTTGTCTATTAGCATTCATAAGTGGTTCTTCTACCAAATTGACAAAAACATAAAAAGTTATATGAACTCTTGAGGTGCAGCATTGTTAAAAAAAAAAAAAAAAAACATTTGTAAGTATGTCGGTTTTGAATGCAGGGCCACTGGATAGGAGTCCTTAGTTCAATAGAAATTTATTTCAGGCATGTGAAAAAGTTTAAATCACAGAAATTAATGGCAGAACAGCAAACCTAGGATGACAGGACTAGAATAATAGTAGGAAACCGCAGACCCCAGAGGCATAGACTCAGAGAAGAAGAAACCGTAATGACCCTTCTTTTAGTGCCAGGGATAAATTGGCCAAGGAAAGTTCAGTCAGGACAATTATCAGCCCTGAACCTTTATGTGGCATACCAAAATTCTTTTGGGCTTAGTCAAAATTGACCATATTAATTATTTTAATTAATTATACTCTTTATTTAAGTTCTTGGTTGAGATGAAAAGCCCAAGAGGATCAAAGTCACGATAGCTTAAGTGGTTAGAGCAGCAGTGTATTTAGCTGTGGGTTTGAATGGCTCGTGACACTAGCTTTTCATCTTAACCAAGACCTTAGATAAAAAAATTGTTTAATAATAATCTTATGCTCTAATTGACGGTACCCAATACCAATTTTAATTTTGATAAGTAACATAATAAACAGCAAGAAGATAGGAATTGGCACAGCCATTTAGGCATTTAGGGTTAGGATAGGTAGTGTGAGGTTAGGAAGAATTAGGATGGATTAGGATAGGTATTTTGAGGTTAGTCAGAGTTAAGGAAAGGTTAGGTAGAGTTATGTAAGTGTTAGGGGCAGGTTAGGTTTTCTAACAAAAGAAATTACCCCGCGAGTGAAGACAGACCCAGTAGTGCCCGTGTGCTGGTTCAACATGAAAAGAAATTACGTAACAATATTATTTTTATATGACAATTCTGAATGATAACTTACTCGAATCTAAACTTTTAGAGCAATATTTACAGTACAGTATCAGAATTGTCATATATAAAAAGTTTTGTTATGCAATTCCTTTTTTTTAGAATCCTGATGAAGGTAACAAATATAACAAAACCTTGACTAGAATTGGAAGTTTTTATGGCTAGCCTCTTCCCAGATCTTCCTCTACCACATAATCATTTGCAGGTTGATAATCCAAGATTATCAGATTCAGATCATATGAAAGTTAACTAAATATCAAGGAGGTAGAAAACCCCACAAGGTTGTTTTATAGGTGTGTTTTTATTGGTCTTCTGATTTAACATATGTTGTACAATTCATGGGGAGGAGGCCAACAAAGAAAACTCAAAAAATTGTAGTCAAGCTTTTGGTATATTTAATGCCTTCATCAAGTCTAACCCAAACAATACTTAACCTAATCTTAATAAATAATCTTATGCTCTAATTGAGGGTACCCAGTACCAATTTTAATTTTTATAAGTAATATAATAATCAGCAAGAAGATAGGAATTGGCACAGCCAATATTTCATTTAGAGTTAGGATAGGTAGTGTAAGGTTAGAACTCTGAAGCAACTGAATAAATCTACCTAACCCATCCCTAACATTTATACCAATACTAACCCATCCCTAACTCTACCATTTGATGACTCTTTTGTTATTTTTGGCTGTATACAAATTAAAAAACCACAAATATTTCTTAAGATAGATTCTTCTTTTAAAATTATTGATTTTGGTAGGACACTGAGAGTGATCTAAGCTTAAAAATATTTTCTGGAGTTAATTATGCTAAAACATTTTTATTGTTTACTCTACAATTAACCTTACATTTGTACACTTTTAAAATTGTCGAGTTTTATTTTTGTTACAGAAATACAAGGCTAAATTTGATAAATATTCGTTTTATTTTAAATTAAAAGAAATCCTAACTGACAAACCAGATTTGCTTCGTAATAAGACTATTCTTAATTTGCAAGGGGGTTCAGGTTAGTTTATCACTATTTATCCCAATAAAATATACTGTATTATGTAGAAACATTAAATTAGTTGTAATTATAGGTTGGATTGCATTATACTGTGCTCTTGTGGGAGGTGCTTCTAAAGTGTACACCGTGGAGAACTCTGAAGCAATGGTTCAGATAATTAAAGGGTGTTCAGTTGAAAATGGTGTTAAAGACAAAGTGCAGGTATTAAATCCAAATTGTTTCCAAGTTATTAAATGATTGCTTAATTAACAAACTTCTTAATATTAAAATATGTATGTTATAGGTTTTAAAAGGAAATGTAAAGGATATTGTCATACCTGAACCAGTGGATGGAATTATTTTTGACTGGACGACATTCAGTGTTTTTAATGACAGTTTTCATGAAGACATAATCGCAGCAAGATCTTACATGAAAAATGGTGGATTCATCATCCCAGAATCATGTGAAATATATGCAGGGCTATGTCAGCTGACGACTTGCATCGATTTTTTGAATGCGAAAGGCATTACAATGAAATCAGTGGAACAAATTTACAGAGACAAGTGTAGCAATAAATTATTTAACACAGGCGTTAAATCTAAAAGGTTTAATTCAAACGTACAAAAATTAGTGGAAATAAATTTTTACAATTCAACAAAAGATGAGTTGGACAGTGTCAAGCATGAATTATTATTTGTTGCCAACGACTCAGGGATAGTTGATGGAATCAGCATTTGGTGTTCTTTTGGGCTGTCTGGTGTCACTAATAAACCCTTGGAAAATACAGATATTAATCCTTCTTGGGCGGATTCGAGTGAAACATCAATTATTTTTTCAAACCAGCTAGAAGTAGAAAAAGATGAGCCTGTTTGTTTCGATCTTACATTCGTAAAAGAGAATGCTGGAAATTACAAGATAAAACTTGAAAATATTGAGCCAGATGAAATTGAACACCCTGTTGGATGCAATTGTTACATGACGAAATGCATGGTGTTATCTGCCTGTCTTTCAAATCCTGCCTTCAATTATGATGATTCAGATTAAATTCATACGTCTGATTTGTAAGATAACAAACCTTGTATTAAATTACATGTATAATTAAGTAAGCATAATAGGTTGAAGTATTGTTCTATCATTGTTAAGGAAGATTTGTTATCAGGTCCCAGTTGAATTTATAAAATTATATTTTATATCATTGCTGAGAAGTTTCATTCTGTTATGTTGTACATATAAATGATTATCAATTGTAATTATGATTGTGTGTGTTGTCTACAGATAACAGTTTATCTGGCACGAGTTGTACTTTGTCAAAACATAATTTTGGTAATATATTTTATTAAAAAATAAATTTATACAAATGCTTTCTGTGAACGGTAACCACAAACAAGTGAGCAAACGGTAGTTCCTCTTCTTTAACACGTTCAATACGGCCACAAAAGATAATTTGTTTTCATTTGCCAACCAGGAGAGAATTAAAATTGAATTTTAAGCTGGCAGTGGATGTATTGAAAAGAAAAGTCGAAGCACAAACATTACAATTCAAAAAGCCATTTTGAGACACCACAAGCTTTTTGAAAATACCTTTTACTCCAAAACCTTTAAGACACTTCTTGGTTGAAATAAAGTTTAATTTGGTAGAAAAAAAGGGTTAATTTGGTAGAAAAAGATTAATTAGGGTTAAAAAAGGTTTAATTCGACTGAAAAATGTTACACACACACTATTGTATGTATGAATATTGTGTTTGTATATGTGTATGTATACATACAATTGCCTTCTTAGCAGTCTGAATCTTGTATTAAAATTTTTATGTTGAATCTCGTATGAGTGTAACATAAAGAAGAAACAGAAAAGTCGTTTTTGATAAACAGGTTTGCGCAAAACAGAGGAGCTCAGCAGAAGGGGGAAAGGCCCAGGCTGTACATAAAGGAAAAGTACCGGCCGATGAGGACAGCCAGGCTACAGTCACAATAGGATGCTGTGAATGAGTGGAAGAAACAAAATAGTTGATTTCCTGAAGATTGACAATTTTCTTCTGATTGGGTCTGCAGTGGGGAAAAATATTTACAAACCTCTTAAAAGATTAGATGTCTTATTAACATCTATACAGTTGGGTATAGCTGAAAATGCTCATAAATCCGGGTACGCACTTCTTGTCAACAGATGTGCCCTGTACATTAAATAAAAGAATTTTATAAAGGCGATCTTAATTTCATCATACTCACCCTACCTTTGCTTAATTAGCTAACTACTCTGTCCACAGCAGTTGACTAAGAAATGTAACTCTTCATTTCCACATAGTCATATAAAAATTAAGTGAATATTAATATTATTTGAATGAATGGGGAAATTAATGTTGAGGTCATCAGTTGAGGTAAATACATAACAATGTACTCTTTCTTCAGGTTGTAGGGGCTCAGCAAAATAGTTTGTATGTTTAAATGAAATAAAAGTAAAATAGATGAAAACTCACAGGAATTCATTGGTTGTTTATGAACAATGTACTCAAAGAAATGATGTGTCAACCGAGTGCCAACTAGGAAGAAAAATTAACAAAGATGTATCACAGGATAATTCACAAACTCTGTAGTGAAAAATGTATTCATTTATTTAAAATATACAACTTATCGACGTTTAGTTACAAGAACCGAATGTTGAGAAGTCACTCTTAAAAATATATCTTTTGAACTAAGACTGATTTACAAAAAAATATACATTTCACAACTAATAAACTAATGATCACAATAGGTGTATAATATAATCACAAATATTGCTGCTGTTTCTTCTTCCCTTTATAGAACGTTTCTTGCATAACAGGAGCTGAAAAAAATACATAGATTTTGCATTTTGTAAAAGGTTATATGGTAACATTTAATAAACCATTGAACTTATATTTCATTAACTATATTAACCCTTTCTGTTATCAATTATTTTGGTAACAGGATCACGTGTATGAACATAGACACATGAAAACTTCCTCTTGCATATTTCTCTGCTTCATGGAAAATATTAAATAGGATAATATTAAATTTAACCTGTCCCTACTATTAATTATCTCACCTAACAACCTTAACGCTACCTAATAATAATAACATTAAATAAATAATAATAACACTAACATAAAAATAAATAATAATAGCATAAATAATAATAACATTAACCCTTCCTAACCTATCCTTAACTCATCTGTCTCTAACACCACCTAACCTACACTGCTATAATATTATTTATTATATTAATTAATCCTAAAAATCCAGCCAAATCTATCCATAACACTAACCCTAACCCTATCTAACCTACCTCTAATTATAGCTACCCTTAACCTAAACCAAATATAAAACTTATCTTAACATAATCGAACCAAACCCATCTATCTAACCCTCTAACTACTTAACCTAAACCATCCCTACCACTAACCGTAATCTAAATTACCAAACACTTACCTTAATTTAACCTAATCCAATCGTCCATAAAACTAACCCTGATCTAGCAAAAATCTTCCCTAATACTAACCGCAACACTACCTTTAACTCTAACCTTACCAAGCTCATCCACAATTCCGAGAAATGCAAAATTGATGACGCGTAATGGTCATGCAAAAAAAATTGTGTACCAGCCCAAAAGCATCCATGTTAAAGTATTTATATACATGAATGTGTGGATTTGATATCACTGACCAACTTCGTTAATTGTTGAAAATATGGATGACAGGTGTGGTCTTTTTTTTTTTTTTACAATTTATTACAGTTGTAATTCTTCATGCTTTCAATCTTTATTCATTCAACTTTCTTCAGGGCAATTACAGTGTCTTTTTGGAAAGTTAATTCTTCCTTGTGGAATAAAAAAATGGGCTGTCCATTAAAATTAGTTTTAACATTTAAAATTGAATCAAATTAAATCAATAAGTAGAAAAACTGTTCTGATTCTAACATAACTTGTAAGAGGCAGACAGCTACTAGTAGGAAACAAATATAGATTCAAATCAGATTTAGATTTGACAATTCAAAAATATACATATGCAACAGTAACAAAACAACATCTTTATAAAATAGAAAAACTTGCATAAATGATCTTATCAGAGTACCTGATAGCATTAACAATAGGTCATTTTTTCAACCCAGCCACTCTAGCAAAACAAAACTGTTATTTCCTTTGTTGAATCTCTATAAAACATAATAACATCAGAAGTTTATCCTAATTAATTTAACCATACAAAACAAGAATATACCTAACAAGTTGTGAACAAATGATTTTTCAATGATATTTATATATTAATTATAAATTGTCACTATTATGAAATATAAATTATAAAAAAAATTGTAAATACAATCATACCTTTGGCTGGGGTATCGTCTTTCTTGCCCTGCTGTTTTGTGTGACGTAGATTAAAAGCCTCAAGAGCAACTTTCATGAAATTGCTTTTGCTGCTATCTAAAAATTTTACATGTTGAATTAAATTAAAAGTACGCAAAAATGATAAATGTTTTGAAATCTGTCTTTTTGAAGTACCACCTTTGTGCGAGATACTAGCAGCAACCTGATCGATATCCACACCAGGAGCCGACTGGAAGTAAGTATCGTTCTTCAAACCTAAAATCCGCATAGGAAATTATTAATTTAATGTAAACTTTCAAGAAATGTTTTAAGTAGGAACAAATAATATAATAAAGAAAAAAACCTTGTCTGTTTGGGCTTTCTTGATTGTTTCCTGACGGATTTACAAGATATCCAGATGAACTTTTTTTATGCGACTTTTTCCCTAATGGTCCCAAATTCCAATCACCGTTCTCTTCTCCGATCTGTGGCTTGTTCACCGTTTGCCATTGTTGTAGACTGGTGGATGGTGAAAGTCCGTAATTTTGTTTCCCGTCAGTGCTCAACTTGTGGGTTGGTGTGTTTGGAATTGTCAACTTCGTATTTCCTTGATAATATCTTACATCTCCTGAACTTATTTTATGCAAAGGCTTTTTTGTAATCGGCCCGTATGTAAAAGGAACATTTGAATTCAAACACCGACTGTACAAACTGTCATTGTCATAATGATTACCATCCATTTCCATTCTCTTTGAGTGTGCCATAGGCATTTTGTCTTTTGGAATAAAAGGGTCAACCGTAAAATTCGTCCTTGCTGGATTTTTTGGCATATCCTTCAATTCTGTTTTATCACAAACCTTAGAAAAACATTTGAAATTCGATTTTTGCTTTCTTGACTGTTCTATTTTATCCATTAATGATCTTGAATGTTGGTCAGAAGTGGTCAGTTCACCAAAATGTTCACTTAACTGACCATCATGAGAATTTATTTTCCCTATCCTGACTGGTTTAGGTGTACATTGATCACCCAATAACTGATTTGATGTACTATTCCCGATATTCCTTTGGGGGACCATCACATATAAAGGTTCGGTGTACGAACTGTTCATACTACAGTTTACAATTGCACTACCATTTATATCACAGAAGTATGGTTTTTTAATATTTTTATCAGAAGACAACTCCAAATTTACACTATTAGTTTGGTCTTTGAACTTATGAGGAGTAGAAATGTTAAGAGATCTATTAGAAAAAGGGACTGAACAGTTTTGGTTTCTGTTAACTTGTATATTAGCAGGTAGAGTTTGGTTTCTCGGACTCTGATTAGCTTTTGCAATTTCCTTTTGTAAAATTGACTGATAGGGTGACACTTTATTAGGTTTTATTTTGCGAAGATCATTGATCTCTTTGTGAAGAGAAACAGGTGTCAACTTTGTATCAAACAATACACCGTTTGAACTTCGAATAAATTGTTCTTTCATTTTGTCCTTACCAAGTCTGTATTTATTCACTAATTCTTGAGTACCAACAGCTCTACTTTGCGTGCTTATGGTGTTTAAAGTTCCCATGTCAATGACGCTAGTATCATTCGGCGGATTATGAAAATGCGTTTTACTGCTTATTTTACTGAAATCTACTTGTGTGTTCGATCTGGATAATTTAACTTTTGCCGAGATCGCATTTCTTTCAACATTTAGAGCATTTTCTTGTGACAATTTAGTTTTCATGTCAAGGGTTGTGTAACTTCTTACTAATGGTTTTTTATGATCTATTAAACAGAGGTCTTCATACTTTTTCAGCGGTTTTGTAATATTAGGTACAATTTGTTTGCTCGACATTTCGTTGTGTGATGGGGGTGGATTATCAACACAAAAGGTAATATTCTCGTCTAAATTTGATTCTAAACTAGCACGGCGTTTTGTTTCGACTGGCAATTCGGAACAAACCATTAATTTTCGTTTATCATTATTACCATCAACTTTTAAAGATTTGCTTCTTTTAACTGTACCCAATGCTTTACTTTTTGATGTATCTAATTGAGGGACTCTCAAAATTCCTTTTGCCGGTATCGGTTTACCTGTAGTCTTGAGAGGAGATTCATTCTGAGTGTCAAGAAGAGAAGGAGAAGGTATTTTGTTTGCACTTTGACTTTGCGTTATATTCTGTCTTAATAATACCTTATTTGCTTTTGGTATTTGATGTATTGCACGTTGTTGGGCACTCAAATTTTCAACATCTTTTTCCTTTTTGGACGGAAAAATAGTCGAGTATTTTTTCTTCGGTAAGGGTGGAGGAATATCTTTTTCTTTGTTATTATCTTTTTTCTCTACAAACCAATAAAAGAAAATTAATGTGTACAAACATAAAACCATTTAAATTCATAAAATACGTGAAAACATTCAAATTATTCACTAATATAAAATAATGAGCTTAGTGAAAATTTGTTTATATTTTACATGCAAAATTTTCTATAAATTTAATGCTGGAATACATGGGCAATAAAATTGTGTCATTGCTTCGCTACTAAATTATTATAATAACATTCGATGAGATTTGTGTGATAAATGTGTATAAACAGGGGACACTAAGAAGAATATCAAATAAGGGAGTTTTCAGTAATTGTTTCTATGATGTTGACAGCCTTAATAAATAAATATTGGGTGTGTGCATATTGTTTTTTTTTTTAAATTTTGACTTCATCACTATAAAGGCGAACCATTATTACTGGCTAGCCCTGTTAGCTCTCAGGTGGGAAAAACCTTAACGGAAGAGATTGGTTAAGAAAAGAATAATTGATCCCAAAAGTCAGCTTAGAATAAACTGCAATGCACATGACATGGAAACAAATAAAATATATTAGAGTTATTGCTTGAGCTCCGACCTTTTCTTAATAGAGACAAATCAAAGACCACCATCGTTGTGGAATACCTACCACAAAAACGACGATTTAGTGGAAGTGGATGGTGGGACAAATTAACTGTAGCACCAAGAGATTTTAGGTACATCGCACTACAATAGAAAGAAGAATTTGATCTCTGGGTTACGTTGTCAACAAGGATCCTCGGGAAAAAGAAAGACTGCACGCCTTTCACAACTGAATAGGAATAAATTGGAAGGATTTATTTTCTATTTGGCCATAGGGGAAGAGAAGTGGTTAGCAAGAAGAATGAAACACCGCCATCACCAAGAGGAGGATTGCCCTCTTTTAAGGCTCTATTGTTTTCTGTGTTTGGTGTGATCCAAGAATAATTTATTAGGAACTGTTAGCACACAATCAATCCATTACGGCAAAGAACTGTGCGCAGCTAGAGCATCTCGGGTCAGTGTTGAAGGAAAAATGTCCGGCCCTGGTCATAAGATGCCATGTCCGTACCACCATGACAATCCACCACCTCCATACTCTCCAGACCTTGCCCCTTCCGATTTTTACTTGTTCCGCTCCCTAAACTACCACTTAAAGGTACAGAATTTTTGAACAAAATGCTATGAAAAATGGACTTACAGATTCAGTCATCAGCCTTTTACAAAAAGGGGATATTTCTGCTACCAGAACGTGGGCCGTATGCTATAGAAAACGAAGCAACTTATGTTTTGGATTAAAAATAAAATACATTTGACTTTTCATTTGACTTTGTTTTTTCTTTCTAAAAAGTGAAGAAAACTTATGCTCACACCCAATACATCAAAACTTCTTAAGCGCATTACCTGTTCCTCTACTTGAAGTCAGTATACAGTAGTTGCAGATTAATGAAACTATATTTGTTATATCTATTTATGGAGTGGAATACCCGATCTAAACTTAACTGTGGGCTTTAAAGGACCATAGAATGTGAGGATGTAGAACAGCTTTGGTCACGAGACTTCTAGGACCAAAATTCAATGTGACTATTAAAAACCAGTTTTGGGCAAAATTTCATTTTAATCACTGTGGCTGAACGGAGCTTCCATGAACTCTATGGTACCGCCAAGCATATTGCCAAAAGTTTAATATACCACTAACCTCACAATCCACAATGACATTAACAGTCCTTTTGTTTTATTGATTACTATTAACAACTGATCTGTTCCTGCATATTAGTTTCATTCCAACCTTTCACAGCCATAAGTGACTAATGCAACTCCATATCACCTTAAACGATGACCTTAAGACCTGGACCCTTAATTCTTGAATCACATGGTCACATCCTGTGCTCACTCAGTGTTGACTGTGTGAAAATTAAAAAAAAAATATATATGATTTTTAATATTTAATTGGTTTCTCCCTGGGAGAAGCAGAATGACTTGTACACTGTAACAAGTTGTGAAATTCTTAACATTTTGGTTCTCAACAGCAACCTGACAACTATCGTTGGATTTTATTGCTCATGTGCAACAGAGGACGACAAATATATAGTAATACTCCAGCCAATGAGCTGGGAAAAAAATAATGTGCGCATGCACATGCACCTCACGTTTATTGATTGTTGATGTGTGTCTACACTGACACGAGAAAACATGCACATAAATCAGTAAAAATTAACACATATTACTCATAATAGAAATCTACAATTGTGAGGCCACCGATATCAATGAAATTTTTTTTTACTGATAAGTAGAAAAATATTATACTCATGTGTAAGGGTTCCGTCCAATGGGCCACAGTAGTCAAGAAAAAACATTTTAAGTGTAAAAAGGACCTAAAATGGCGTCTGCCAAGCTGCCACTGCTCACAGCTCATTCAAATAATTAAAATTAATAAATTTGAATGAAATTTTAGGGGATGTTAGTACAATGAAAACATTATACGTGTGTATAAAGGTTTGGCGAAATTAACTCCAGCAAGCCCATATTAAAATGATAAATATTGCAGTACATTCTGGCTCTCCGAAAGGCTAAAAGTTACTCTTAATAGATTATCTTCCTTATCAGATAAAAGTTAATTTCAAAATATTTTAATGGATAAAAAAGATTCTCAATTTAGATTTGTAACTTTAATGTTGTGATTTAAATAAAATAAATCTAACTATAAGACTATCCCCTGGTTATGAAGTATGTCTGTAATTTGAAATTGTAATTTTTTCTTGTGTGTACGAAGGTAATACAATAGGGGACCGCGGTAGCCGAGTGGTTAGCATGAGAGACTCTCACGCCGCAGTCATGGGTTCGATTCCCACTGTCGCCTCTGTCCCTTTTTTCCCAATAACTCCCAATTTGAACACACAAGAATTCGTACCATGGCTAATATGCAAGATCATAAGGCCAATAAAAAAAAAAAAAAAAAAAAAAAAAAAGGTAATACAAGAATGCCAGTAGGAAAGAAATCTAAAAAAGCAGTGAAATAAGAAATCTCAATTTGTATATTTTTTACAAACTTTGAAATTACCTTTTAGCCTTTCAGAGAGAGAATTCATCACAATATTTAATATTTTATTACGGCCTTTTTAGGACTAATTTCGCCAAACCCTTTTACACATGTCTAATGTTTTTCGTTTAACTAACATCCATTAAAATTTCATTCAAACTGATACAGAGAGCTGTGAGCAGTATCAGCTTTGTTTTCTTTTTGGTCATTTTTATTTGTTACACCTAAATTTTTTTTGTCTTGACTCCTGGAGCCTACTGGATGGAACCCTCAGACACGCACGGTTCTAATATTCTTTAGCCTAGTATCACTAAACCAAGTTTTATTGAAAACAGTGACTCCATGACTGTAACCCTCCTGTTGTCAGTTAAAAAATAACTATGCAACATTAAAACAAAAACTACCACACACAAAAACCAACAACAAATAATCAAAATCCTAGGCTTATTTTTCAAGACCCCTTGACATTTTACAAATGTAAAAAAAGGCCACAACTGACAAAATGACACACAGACTAACCACTAGATGGTGAAACATGGAAAAAGTCTGACGGACAAAACCAGCAAAAATAGGCAGATTGGAGACACCGAGTCACACCATAATATAGAAAATACTATTTTATTACTGCAAATCTAATGGCTTTTCTTTAAATATTGGCTAGAAAGAATTTTAATTAAACTCAACAACTGTCAATCTTCTAAAACAGCATAAGTTTTATATTACCATCAGTAATGTCCTTAGATAAAGATTCAATTGAATCATATACATGCTCGTCTTCATCGCTGATTACCATCAATCCATTGGTATCAATGTTCTCATATGGATGAGAATCAATCATGCACAATTGTTCTTTGAACAATTCACGGACTGCCTGATGAACAAGTACGTACTGTTCTTTGGTCTGTACCATTGCTATTCTTTGTTTTCTCATTTCTCTAATCAACGCTAAAAGACTAAAATTGTTTGTTAATTTCTGAAAACAAAATCAAACGTTAAGACGATAGCAGGAGTAATATGACATATATTTCAAATGTTTTGCTCTTACCCCGGTCCTGAGTAGACCCCAAACATAATCAATTGCACAAATAGTCCCAGTACGCCCGCAGCCAGCTGAACAGTGGACTAGAACTGGTAATGTTTCAGATGCTTGAGTATCTCTCACGAGTCTGACCATTTCAAGCAAAGGTTGCACGACTGTCGGTACACCATGATCGGGCCATGCTACATAATGTAATTGACAAACAGTCCTTTCTTCTAAAATGTGAGAAAATAAAAATAAATAAAGATTGATTTAAGCATTCAGATTAAAAACAATTGTAAAAATAAAATCATCTATATGGTAACTGTCCTATTAACCACTTACTTAATTATTAATAATGATTGTACTTTATGGAAAAACTTTACAACAGAGACCGCTATATAGAGGTTTTTGCTTTTGGAATAAGAACGAAAACAATGTTCACTATTACAAGATGGGCCATAATGGAGATTACTATATATTCCTTCATGTTTCCTATGACGTTTTCAATTTCATCAAGCATATCTGGGCAAAATAACAAAGTTAAACACTCCTTCGAAACACTCCAAAAAATAAGGCGGTCTCATAATAATTAAAAATGTTTTTGGTTTAAAATCGGTGCATTATTAAGTTTTACCATCCAGGTTTGTACAACCTCAGTGTCTACTGATGGATGCTCCTTCTTCACTATTGGTCTTAAAACAAGTCTTACAATATGTTCTAAATTTTTCGAGCCAACCTGAAGATACTTTAAAATCGGTTTACCCTAAATTTTTTGCTACTTCTACAGCATTTTCTCAGATAAGCAAACAAGACAGTGGTATGTTATCTGGTCCAAGCATGGCCCATTCACAGGTCTATGGTTGAATCAAATGTTTTAGGAAAAAATCTGCTGGATTGATCGTTTCCTTGTTTGTAAAATTTATTTTAAAGTTCGTTTTTGTTCTTTAAATTTTTGCACCTAGGTTTTTCCGATGGAAAACTTTGCAGCCAAATCTCGCACACTTAATTTTTCACTTTCACTCACTTTAATTATATTTACTTTTTTCTTTAAGGGTCAAATGCCCTGAAGATTTAAAAATGTTTACATAATCAAAATATAGTAATACTGGGAAAATACTGGAAAATACAAAACACAAATAGGGAATACAGCCTATCTCAGAAAATGTTCATTTTTGGGAGGCTCATGTCCACTTTTGGGTGAGTTTTAGAGCCAGAATATAGTCATAAAAGCTGTCTGCATCTGTTATTGGGAGTGTCTGCTTTATAGAAAATTTGAAATGTGAAGAATTTAGATACTGGAGAATCAGAATTTGTCCATTCAAGGGAGGTGTCTCCTTTTTAGAGGTGTACATTAAGGGAAGTTTTACTATATGTTTTCAAATTGTGTTCCTGAACCACAATTTCCTGAAATCTATCACAAGGCCTGTATGTATCCTTATTTTAAATACTATTAATTTATTATCTCTAATTTAATTAACAATAAGACTTCAACACTATAATCTTATAATAAAATACGAAGGCATTCAATTTTTAGAGATTATGCTGGGGTTTTAGGGTTGCTTTCTCGATGAACTCTTATAAATTTTATTCCAAAAGGATTAAATATGAGAAACTGTACTGCCTATGCACTTGGTAGATGTTTTTCTGATTGGCCTCATCCCTAATTGTAATGCAATAATGCAATGGTACAAAACTAGTCCATTATATTTTTTTTTAAGTTAAAAGGAGATTAAAAAAATACCATACCCATAGTAGATTGGCTGTTGTTGTATTTCAACCTCATTGTTCTTACAGAAAAATCTGAACAAACTGTGCTAGCCTTTAATAACTTGACACTAATCATACCAAACTGTTTTTCTTCGCCCTCGTCCACCCAGTACTTTTCGCACTTGGCCTACAAATTAGAACTTATATAAATAAATGTAATAATGTAAAATTATAAATGTAATATTCCTCCTTCTGTTAGGTTCTATGGGTTGTTTTAACTCCCAGTTATGGCAAAAAAATTAATTAATTAATTTTAAAAAATATATAATATATACATTGTCAATAAATACCTTGCCGGCCTCTTCTTCATTGCAAGCCATAACAATGACTTGGACTTCACATTGCACGACCATTCTCCAGAAATCATTAACTGTGTTTGGAAGTGGTCCTTGACTAGCAATGTAAGCAGGGGAGCCACTGGCCCCTTTGATAAAATTGGCATTGATGTAATCGCTCCCTGGTATTCCTGCATATTCATTGAGAACTACTCGACTTAGATCGACTGAAAGTGTAAATAAAAAAAATTAAATTTTTTTCAACGCTTATAAGCTAAGGTTCAAATTAAAAATAATTTAGCATAATTGCTTTTTTTTTGGGGGGGGGGCAGAACAGAAAAGCTGCTAAAAATCCTAAGCTTTGAGATTTCTTTATGATGAAACTGTAGTTAGTAATTCCCTATCATTTTGTAGAGCTTTTTCAACTTTTTGTACCTGATGACTCATCTGGTACCAAGTGTGGCTTAGTAGACACAATCAATGCATCAAAAAGTCACTCACGATAGTTGTCTTGATTGTTCACATTATACAAATATTTTTCTCAAAATTGAATTTAAAAAGTGCTTTTGTCTGAAATTTTTCTTTAAAATGTGAACTATTACAAAAAGGTCTCACATGTTAGGTGCATATTAATTAATGTATTAATTGTGAGAGAAGCTAATTTCCTTTACATCTCCCCATATTTCCTTTACAACCATTGCATTTTAATGAAGGCTACAGGCTGGATTCTATGAACATTCTCATGTATAAAACTGCAGCTAGTAATGCGTCGCTATCCATGCCTCATCGAATTTTAGAAACTACTAGGCAACATGCCTGAAAAAAACCGATGTCTGTTCCTCTAAAGAGACACCACTTGAATGATCTAAGGTGGTTGTTTATAGAACGTATCACCAGGCATCTTTAAGAAGGCGCTAAGTAAGACACCACAGGTGTGGCTTTAAGCTAAATGATCAGCACTAGCAATGATTGACACATTAGATCAAAAAAGTCAAACTACAAATTATTTGGGTGTTTCACTTATAAATCATTCATACAACTTTAGAATATAAATTATAACTGAAAAGTTCCCAAATGAAATAAATTATCAATATTGGTGTATTGTTGTAATAGACAAATGAGAGAACTGCTGTCCAATTTTGTTTGCTGCTTTTTCTATGTTTTTATAATTTCCCTTTAAATTAAATTGGTTGTTTTATCACCACCAGTCAGTATGTTTGTAGACTATCGTAATCATCTATTTGAAACCAATCTAACCGCAAGATTAATCAATTTTCATTGTATAAATCAATTTTGTATTAATAAATTTCATTACCTGAAGTGTCATGTTATAATTTGTTAGTGTAATACTATATTATCCTACTTGTACAATGTTAATATACAACAAAGTTTCTATTGAAGAAAAAAAGTCACTGCTTGGTACTTACATGGTAAAATATCTTTGTATCTGTTCTTCTTCCTATTAATTTCTTTTTCTCCTTCTAAACAGGAATATTCTTTAAGAGATTTAACATTTTCACTGAATAGTTTCAAGTCCTAAAACAAGAACAAAAAATTAAATAGAAACAATTCATTGGCTGCATGGCCCACTCCCTACAAATTAAGTCTGAATAGTTAGACATTCCCTTTTTCCCCTTTATCTCGTTTTTATGTTAATATTAATATAATTCTTGTCACAACATTTTTTGTAATTTCTAAAACGTCACTACAAATACTTTGTATTCCAGTCGAAGGTGACAAGTAGCTCGGTTTATCTGCCATGCGTGACATGTCTGAATGATTAACCAAACTAACTGAACAGTACTAGCTGATGAAATATACAGTATTTGGCCTCTAACCAATCAAATAACCTTAACGAAGATAGATCTAATACAGATGATTATATACAGGTTTTGGTTGTGGTGCATTACATTGTAAAGAGGCCAAATCATTTTAACCTTAACCTTAGGAACCGCCGATACTGGCTAACAAATACCTCATCCTCAAGCTTGTACCTTTCAAAACTGATAAACCGACTGTCAGAAAAAAAATGATGTACACTTTTGGATTCTTTTGTTTCTTCCAATATTGGATCAACTTTCAACATCTTCCAATGAAAATTCCAATAGGTTCTCCTTGGTTGTCCAAACCATGAGATATCCAGCTTTTACTGTCCGGTAAAGTCATTGTTCATCTGTATATTTGTAATTCAACTATTAACTAAGAAAAATCTTGATGTGATATAAATTATAAGTAATTTAATGCTTAGAATTGATAATGGATGTTGGTCTGCGAGTTGGTGAACTCTGCTGAACCAGCATGGAGTCACTTATTGGGTCCGTCTTCACTCATGGGTTTGTTCAGTTACTCAAATGCATTTTGACATTGTGCCATCTTCAGTGAGGAACTCTGCCCGATTAGGGCTTATACGTTGTCGGGTTTGTCAGGTGTCACTAGGGACTTGGTCGTGGTGTTCATTGGTCTCTACTGATGTTATTATTTGAGTGTTTCTTTTACGATATTGTTTTCTTCGGAATGTTCATGTTTTTTGTTATGCAGTGTTTTTAGAGGTGTAAAAATAGTGTGTGAATGTATGTTTATAGATTTATGTTTTCCACCTTTATCAGTAAATTGCTTGTTGTGTGAATGTTTCGCTTATACATTTATAAGTTTTCCATCTTTATGTGTTAATTATTTCTATATCTCTAGGTTCTCCAATACATTGAGTTCCCAGCCTTTTTGTGCGGTGTGTATTAAAGTCATAGTTGTTTTTATTGTGTTTGGTTCGTGATTGTGATGAATTAAATTTGCGATATAATTTAATTACCCTTTATTTTCTGTGAAAAATCTGAGATGTTTTTTGAACCGTTATCTTAATTTTCCAGGCTGTCCAATGTATGTATCTCCGCATTGATAAATGAAGCTATCATCCGTATCTATGAAGCGAATCAGTGTCTATGTTTCATTTTAGTAGTTCAACTGTGTTATTATCAGTCATTAAGGGCTTCTTTTGGTCAGAGTTTGTTGAACAAGAACAAATGCCCATTGCAACAACGGACAGCGCCAAAGCCCTACTCAAAGTGCCAGACAGCTCCTCACTGAAGATCGCAATGCCGAAATGTGTTTGAGGTAGTTCAACAAACCTGCGAGTGAAGACCGACCCAATGTTGGTTCAGCTTGAATTTGATTCTTGCCGATCGTCTTGATCTGACTATTCTCACTGAGCTGGTCTGTCAGATGCGTTTCAGCATCTTGCCATCTTCAGCGTGCCTGTGACAGATGAAACAAGTCTCACAGACCAATCCAGAGATAATCAGCAACTGACGGTTTTTCCAGACCGCAGAACGTTTTGAAAATGGGACGAGTGTTGTCTTTTATATTTTACAAAACGATCACTTTTTAACTAAGACTTATGAGTTGGAGGAAGCAGATTAGGCAAAATGTATGTTTTTAATATTTTCCAATGAATTAATACGAAGTGTGAAATCGTTTAGGACATTTTTTTTAGTAATGTCACCTGAAATTCGGCATCGTAGCTCTTTTCGGGACAATTTTGCGATTCCAGATTTTCAATGTGGTTCAGGAAGTTTCGGAGGACAACGCGCAGTGGTGTTCTCTCTTGGTCTTTCATTTCATCCTTAAAACCTGAGGGAATTTAATTCTTGTAACATCATCATATCATAACAAGAGCGGATCTGAATGGAAATAGTTCCATTTGGATTAAATAAGGCGAAAACTCTTAAAACTGGAACAAAACACAACCTAAATCACATAACAATGTGTGTTGATCAGTGTTGCCCGTTTACCATTACGCCCAATAGCCCACTCCCTACGAATTAAGTCTGAACAGTTAGACACTCCCTTTTTCCCCTTTATCTCGTTTTTATGTTAAAAAGTTAAAAATAAAACCTACATATTTAAAAAAAAGACATTACATTTCTTTAAAAACTGAAAAGAAAAAATAGTCGTATCAAGCAAACAAGCATGTCATTTCATCAAAACGTAATCTATAATTTTCCAACCATAGACGTAAAATATTAAATATTTTATATTAAAAGAAACAATACAGACCTCTTTTACTCAAAAAACAACATTTTTATGATAAACGTGAAAATAAAGTATTTGTGAATGTTTCTTGGGGAGGGGTTCATTTTAACGATGTATAACCAGATCTGTTAACCATTAACTTTTTGACTTTTCTTATCAACGTTTTTGATTATAATCTTTATAATTGTGATTGTATAACGCGAATATGTTTGTTTTCCATCGAGCCCGTACCTGAAATTTGTTATTTGTTATGGTAATTTGAAATTGTTTATCCTGTTAAATGGATAGATTTAGCCTGCTTGGAAAAGATGAAGCCTACACGGCCTATTGTCTATACAAATGTATAAAGACACAGCAATTGGTGTAAGTTTATATCTTCTATTTATTAATAAGTTAATATATTATTTTAGGGTTGTCTAATTTCGTATTTTCATAAAGCAATCTGATTAAAAACTATCTCTCTAATGTACAAGTCTATGCGTTGTTGTTTGTTTATTTTCGCTTGTGAAGTAAGCCCGAAGGGTTTGTCAATAATTCGATTTTATACCTGTTGTGTTTATTCACTTTGAAAAAAGGATTTATTGTCCTGGAGGAAATACCGCAGCTCAGACTGAGAAAGCCCCGGTCTATAAGTACTTGATTCAGAAGTGGACATCTTGATATAGAGAGACAAAGTGCTCTGGATTTGCTCACTAAATTATAGCCTTTTGTCAAAATAACCGACACTCAGTTACACAAAATATCGCAGTCACTTAACATCATGCAAGAGTTTCAATCCATCTGAAAGCAGCTGGATTTATTTGTCGGAGGGATGGGTTCTCACATGTTGGCAGGAGAATTTATTATGCCACATTCGTGATTCCCTATAGGGTTAGAAGAATGTACCGATAGGGTAATAACAATGAGTGGTCTGAATGACACATCCCACCTCTATCGTTTCTATTAGAATGCACCGATTGTAAGTGGTCGGTTCAGAAGCAGACATTTTGATTTAGAAGAGGCAAAGTGCTCTGGTTGTCCTTCAACTGTTGGTCACCAAATTCCTGCTTTTGAATTAAATAGCCAACACTCATTGACAAAAAATATCGCAGAGACACTTAACATCATACAAGAATTTCAATGCATCTGAGAACAGCTGGATATGTTTGTTGGAACGATGGGACTCTCACATTTTGACAGAAGAATTTATTATGCCACATCTCCATCTGTGATTCCGTACAGCTTTAGAAGACTGTTCTGTTTGTAAATGGTCGGTTCAGAAGATATTTTGATTTGGAAGACACACTGCACTCGGGTTGTCCTTCAACCTTTGATGTAGTCCATAGAGCAGCTTTATTTGTTGTCATTCATAAATAACTGACACAAGACATCACAGACACTTAATATCACAAGAGTTTCATTGCATCTAAGAGTAGCAGGAATTGTTTGTCGGAGTGATGGGTTCCTCATACATCAGCAAAAGATACTTCATCTCCATCCATGATCCCCCAGCTTTAGAAGGGAACACCGTCTGTATGTGCTAGGTTAAGAAACAAACATTTTCATTTGGAACAGACAAAGCGCTCTGGTTGCCCTTCAACCGTTGATCACCAAATTGCTGATGTAGGGGGGAAATTGAAAAACCTGGCTGTACTGAAGATGTCAATAGAGATCCAATTAATTGAAGGTGGAATGAGACTAAAATAAAACTTTAGTTTGGTTGTTTCCAATCATTTGGCCTTCTTCTTCCTGTTTTGATCCACAAGACAAGTTATATTTACTTAGTGTATTATTTCATTACAGGTTATGTGAATATTTGTTGCATGCGAAAACTGCAAATCCTAATTTTGTGTTGGAAGGATATGGGATCGCTCCATTCCATTGTGCAGTTGGTATAGGCACTGAACAATTTGCACTACAAACGGTGGCACTTTGTTTACAGTATGGAGGCGATCCAAACTTAAGGTACATGATTTTTTTTAACTGGACCTTAAACTCATAAGGCAAGAAAATTATATTTTTCATAACATTTAACAGGAGTAGTGATGATACAACTCCTCTAATGATAGCTGCTATTTGGAAAAGGGCAGAGATTTTAAAATTACTTCTCAACCATGGAGGTGATCCTAGTATCATCGATCATGATGGTTCTTCTGTATTTGATTATGCAGCAGAATGTGGAGACAAGAAAGTCTATAATATATTACTAAAATACACATCACAGTTTGTCACCAAAAGACCAAAGAGAAAGAGCAGAACATACCAAGGTATTTGTAAATTTATAAAATATTTGTCAAGATATTGGTCACAGATCTAATCCATAATTTTCTCTCCTGTTTGTGAAATTTTCAAAGATTATTGCAAAGAAAAATTTTTCATCGTACTAATGGAAGAAAATTTATTTCAGGGCCACCAGTTATTTATGTAAGTAGTCTTGTATTTATTTGTATACTTACTGTACTGTTAATTGTGTGCTGCATTATAAATCTCTTTTTGCTTAAAAACTTTGTAAATTAACAGTTCATGTGTCAGATTTTTTTTGTAATTTTAATTTTATTGTTTACTACAGGATGAAACACGTATGGATAGCGAAATTTATTCTACTATTGATAGTGATAAGAGTGACATTTCATTTTTAAATGAAAATATTTATCCAGCGAATAGCACTAATTTCTTTTTAAAGAGAAAAGGCATGCACAATAAAAATGAAGAATATTCAGACATCGACAGCGGATTGAGTTATGTGGAAGTTTACGCACCAAACAGTACAGATATTTCATATGACATTTCGGAAGAAATTGAAAAACTTAAGCTAAACCCGCCTGTAACAGTATGCTGCAACGATAAAAGTGTTGATGTTAAAAGTAGTACTGATAGCAAGGAAATTGGCCAAACAGAAATATCTTTTACACCTTTAATCCTCACCGATACAATAATTGAAAGGTGAAATAAATTACATATTTTATAACTAATGATCGAAGATGAACAAGCTACAGTTATCATAATTTTTCAAAATTGCATGTGTAAAACAGCAAATTCTCTTATTTACAAATTTAACATAAAAATATAATTTTACATAAACATTTCAGGTCATCTGTACAAAGTGAGGACTGTTCGCAAATTGGAGGAGTATCCAATCCTTCGTACAATGAGTTAAATGAACGGATAATTGGATCTCAATCTTCATTAAGTAAGCTATGCTAGTTAATAGATTGTAAATAAATTTAAAATTATTTATGGTGAATATAACAAGTGGTACTTATGGCATTGAAAATTTAGGAGCATTTGTAGTCATACCTAACCTAATTGGTCCCTAACTCTAACCCTACTAACCTAACCCTCCTTAACTGTAAAGCTGCTTCCACACTGGGCGAACACGACAAATGGGTAAATATAGTTGTCTATGAAGGAATTATATTACCATTAATAATATTGTGGTAACACCTGCGGTTAACTATTTCAACAATGCTTCAATGATGGTTTCGCCTTCCACACTACAGCAAATGAGCTTGCAGTTGTATAGGGCTTGACCTGCTTAATGCAGACTCATTGACAAAATCTCAACCAGCACTCACTGATGGAACAACACTCTAGCTAAAGCAACAAGGGTACTTGCAGCATCATCTCTCGCCGTCTCAACACTTGATATTGTAGCAGCTGCCTACTGCAAGAGGCGACTTCAACAGCAACTCCCCACAACACCGGCCCTTCTCAGGGTCACCAAAATACCTAATCACTAAAATATTAATAAATAAAATTGATTTATTGATAACAATAATACATTTTTTATATTGGTTGTCTTTTTTTAGTTCAACCAAGTTGTCAGAAAACAGAGCTCTCAAGCAATGTTTCATTTCGGTTTGTGTGATTGTTCACAATTGTGTCCACAATGACTGAGCACAACGACGAACACTGTTTGATGTACCGACTCTGAGTGGGAACAACAGCAAGGATGATTGTACATTTGCGAATTCTTGTAAATACATCCACTATGCTTATATTGTTCACAAATGCTCTGCTTGCCCAATATGGATGTGGCTTAACTCTAACCCTAACCCTATTTAATATAATCTAACCATAACCCTACTTAACCTAATCTATTTCCTACACTGCTTAACCTAATTTCACCCTAACCCTACTTAAGCTAACATTACTTAATTTGTCCCTAGCCCTAACTGCTTAACCTAATCTAACCCTAACTGTACTTGACCTAACCAGTCACTAACCCTACTTAACCCATTAGTGCCCACAATTTTTTTTTCTTGAAATTTATCCAAAGTTTTTATTTTTGACTACTATTTTCAAACGGTTTCAAGGAAAAAATATTATTTTTTAAATTAAATTTTTTGAGTTTTATCATATGTTGGGAATTAAAATGTATGTTTAAAAATTTTTAATCTTTATTATACCAACATTATGATAACAAATTTATTGTTTGTAATGGTACAAAACAAAGCATTTTTGTAGATTTGGGTGAAGTCCCACTTGCATTTATTACATTTAAATTTGGTACACTTTCCGCACTGGCCACACCTTCATTGTGTGCTCCCTTCATCGACTAAATGATTGTTCCCATCATACCTTTTTTCATTCAGGACCTGAAATAAGTAAATATTTTTATTTTTATCAAATCAGTTTGTTCATCCCAGTTAAATTGTATGTCCTCTTTGAAACCAAGGCAGTTTAAATAACCATAGTTGTTTTAATTTTTGTAAAGAGCAAAATAAATATTTTTTTAAATTATGAGTTAAAAAATTTTCATTGAAATAATATATTATTATTAATTTCTGACTTCCAAATATCAATATCAAAGTAGCTTAAAAAGTTGCTATAAACAAGTTGTATTATTGCATATAAATTGTTTAAAGATTTATATAGGTCCTAGGGTTGATCCTTGTGGACCTCCTAATTCTACTAAACCCTGATTTTAGGGTAAATAGCCACCACTTGCTTCCAATTCACCAGTTGGTTTTTAATAAAATCTATGTTGGAATGTTTTCACTAATAAATGTTTTAATTTTTATTTACTAGGTTCTCTTTCATCTTGTGCAACTGATGTATTAAAATTTGAATTGAAAAAAAATAATCTCTTTGTTGGCCCTGTGCTCAAAAATACTAAAAAGGTTTATTTGAGAAAGCTCAAAAAATTTAAGAAGGGTCAAATAAATATCGAAGAAGATGATGAAAAAGGTACAATTTTTGAAATCATGATCTTTTGAATGTTATTTTTCTAACTCAAATGTACAAACTTTAAAAAATTAATATATAACGAACACTTTTTTACTCTATCATTTGATCAGAGTTTAAGGTAAATTTTTATTTTATAATGTTTGCATTATTAAGTTATATATAAGTATATCTTTTAGGTTTCGTGGTCCTATTGACCAAATAAATTCTTTTCAATTAATTAATCTATAATTAAGGTTTTGGTTGAGATAAAAAAGTCTGAAAAGGTCCGAAAGTTCTGAGATGAAAAATGGCAAAAAAGGAGGGAAAATTCAAAAGGTGGGGGTTGAGATGGTAAGTTGGTGTTCCAGTGGATCTAAGTCACAATAGCTCAAGTGGTAAAGTAGCGGCTTATCAAGCCGAAGTTCGTGGGTTCGAGTCCCGCCCGTGACACTGACTTTTTTATCTCAACCAAAACCTTAATTAAAGATTAATTATATAGATAATATTCTTTAATTTTAATATTCTCTTTCAGGCTTGAATGAAATTTTGGCGCTGACATTCAAACGCTCTGATTTTATTTTATACCTTGAAAAATGGAGCAGTATCGAGCAAGAATTAGTCAGTTCTTTAGACGTACATGGAGTAAAATTACGAAGGGCTGGCTGTGAGAAAGTCTACTTTACTTACCTCTTGCTGGATCCAACTCTCACTTGCAATCTGCCCCAATCGCAAAAGTATCTCGAGAAACATGAAGTTTGGAAATTATTTGTGAAGGCAATTTTTTACGTTGGTAAAGGTAAAAATGCTCGACCCCACAGCCACCTTTATGATGCTGCTAAATCAACCGTTGGTGGCATTAATTCTGCAAAGGTAAATGATGTGTGTCTTTATAATAATAGAAATATGTGTTATTTATGGGCTGACAAACATCAAGTGGTATTGCTGGTCCTCTACGCTTTAAATGGAAAAAAAATCTTTTACGCATCTTTCTTATTGAATCTTTTATTTTATCTTATGTTTTCTTAACTTGCTAACCTTGTAGTTACTTCAGTTGTCAAATTACTATTAAATGAACATGAAAACATATAACTTAAGCAATAATACATAAAGATTATCATGCTTCCCACCTCCTCTAGAAATATTGCTAGCAACGGGAGCCCTGCCCCTCGGCTGAAACACCTGGACAGTGCATAGGGGAGCCCCCTGCAATGCCCCGGTGAAGAGCTCATAGACATCACCAACAAAATGCTGCAGGCCACTCAGCAAGATAGCCGGAAGCGCACGTCCAGCATTGTGGTGCTGGATATTCTGTTGCTGATATTCTTTCACCTCGCACAAGACAAGTGTGGTCACATTCACTCCCCAGAGTACTTGATATACCTCAGGGCGGGTTTAAATCCTCCATTCATGCTAATAAATTAGTTTCACTCTCCAGACAACACTCTTACCCCAAAGCACTCAATATTACTCGGAGTATATGGGGGATAAGCTCCTCATTCCCGCAAATAATTTACATTCACTCAACACATAAAACAACACACACACATATTATATACATTTAAAAACTCTTATAGCACTGAGGTACTGAAACAGCAATCCATGCCCGCTGCATAAGTCAACAGGAATGCCCTAATTCATCCTACACCTTTTAGTTTTCTGCATTGTAAAGTATGATACACTTAATCTTTCCATACATAATGGACATCGATGTGGTCTCTTTCCTGCCAGCAAGTGCCCATGTAGTCTTGTGTGACATATATGTAACCTGCCCTTTCCCTTTTTGACCGGGCTTCTGTGGGCCAGTGACTGTCTGTCAGTCTTTATCTGCCATAATCTGGCAGAAGTCAATGCTCAGAAATTCTTCATTAATCTATCACATGATGGGGTGGTTCGTTCACTGATGTAACCTCTTTAGCCGCTTTGTCTGCTTCCTCTTTCACAGCTATCCCTAAACGTATCCAGACCAGCAGGACTGGTACTACTTATACTGTACTTATAGTAAATAGTTTTTTGTAATATTCTTTTCTATAACTTGATAACTTTTATTATTAAAAAAAAACTAATTACACAAAATGAGGTTGAAATAAAATAAGTTTGATGAATATAAAATAAGGCATGAACGCACTTTAAATATTGTTAATAATAACTGATTATATACTCAATTTATTCATTCCACTTTGCAACATTAACGCTTCATACTACACCATAAGTTTTCAAAAAATTATTGTATTCTATGAATTCTTAATGTATTTCCTAAATTTCTATATCTATGAGGCAGTATAATGCAATTTCTTTCTCAATCATCTATTTTATATGCTTGCTCTTATAATTTGGGCATTTTTCCTTCTATTTCCTTTTTGGCTGGCATGCAGCTGTCTATGTTGTGTAGCTTTTACAAAATTATTTTCTTTGATTTTTAATCCTACAATGATTTTTCAAATTGATCCATTAAGTTTGTATTTCTAACTGTAATTATTTCAAACTTTCTTTTTTAGAACAAACGTATTCATCACATATGGGAGCAGAATTTGGGTGTTGTTTGCCTAAACGTTTTCCACAACCTTATATGTTTAGAAGCTCACATTAGAGAAGCAGCTATGATCGATGCTCTTCATGGGGCAAATATCACAAACCAACAAGCTGGCCAATATTATGCTCCAGCGTCAAAGTGGCCGTTGAAAAAAAAACGACAGTTAGGAGTTGTACTTTTACATAAAGCAATGAATATTTACCTTGCAGAAGGAGAAACTCAAATCAGAAAATGTGATTTAAAATAATTTTTTGATTATTAATATGAATTTAAATAATATATTTATTTATTATGTAATGACATCAAAATGTAATAGGAAAATTCCTGCAAAGTATGTTTTTTTTTCAATTTAAACCTACCCAGCTAGTTTTCATAATTATAATTTAATTATTTAGATGTGTGTGAGGTTATTTACTCTAATATTGTGTTTTGATTTAAATTATTTTGTACACATAGATTAAATTATTTTGTGACAAGAGAAAATGATCTCGTACTTCACTGACTGACCAAACATAATGATAATTAAATAATGCAGTGTTGCAAATATGTTTTGTCTGTAAATTAAGAGACTAATGGATTTTTATGTTTAAAACAAGGTTGTGTTTTTTTGTTAACATTTTCATTATTTTACTGTTCCTGTAAGATGTATCTAAATTAAAAATTATAATATATTTTGTTTATTAATAAAAAACTTTATTTTTTTTCGCTTGTGTTTATCATTGAAAAATGAGACATTCAAATAAAGCAAAATGTAAATTAGATTCTTGTGCAATTGCCGTTTTGCTAGGTTTTAAATAGCCAAAAACAATTATTGGCAAGGATGTGGCGACAACAGTCATTTACTGTAAAGTAAGGCCGAGTAAATAGCCCAACATAGTACAAATGGGCTTTTTGGTTCAAAAATACCAGCTCCCCAGGTGTTGATAATGTCTAATATGACTGCTACTATTGTGAACCCTGTTTTTAGTTCAGGTAGGATACATCAAGCTGATGTATAGAGCCACATTTATAGTACTCACATTAATATAACATCTTCAACCCTGAGCCTTAAAATTAAATTATCGTATACTTCGTTAAGCAACAGCTAAATGCATTATTTTTTTTTTTTTTAATTGCTTTTTAGTACAATTTACAATAAATTTATATGCTAAATACAAAAAAAAAATTCACCAACTATTATGCTAGTTCTAAAACACAGTAGGACTGAGCATCAACCATTTTCTAGATAACATAGAAATCTAAAGATATTAAGAAGGCAGATCTGAGAGATTTACTCCATTTAGCTATTTTCCATTGTTACTAATATTTTATGTACTTTATAAAATATTTGTATTTTGACTAAGCCAATTAAAAAGTTCATAACAAAAGAAAGGAATATCAAAAGAAATAAGCTTAAAAATCTGCAAACAGTAAGAAGCCATAACTGGGAGATTTACTCTCTATGACTATTTTCCATTGTTTCTAATATTTTATGTATTTAATAAAACATTTTTGTTTAGATTAGGCTAAGTAAACAGTTTGTAAGAAAATAATTGAATAAAAAAAGAAAAAAGCATAGAAATCTGCAACCGGACTAATGCTTCATATTCACAAAGCTCATGTCTCTGGTTCTTCCTGATAGAGACAGCATGCTTCTGTCTCTGCTTTGCCCATCTTCTTTAGGTGGTAGTTAAGAGGGCAGTAGCCGGATAGAGAACTATAATTTTTTTCAAATCTTGGCTGGTGAGAGAGTGGAGTTTTTTGCCTTCCTTCTTGAGAGATTTATGAATCTCAGCGATATAGTTTATCAATCAGCTAATTCAAAAAAATGTGTATTTCTTCTTGAATTACTATATTGATAATCGTTTTTGTCATTGTAGCACTAAATGAAAGACTAAATATATAGTTGAAAGCTTGGCAATAAACAGAACCATAACTGAGAGCAATAAATCTCTTAGCTTCTTCATACCTGGTGTATTTGTCCTGTAATTGAGTTTTTCTTTCTCAAGCTGTTTTTTAAGTTCCAACTTAAGCGCACTTTCTAGGGCATCTGATTCTGGTCCCATGGGTGAGAGGGCTGCCCCTTTTTTGGCTATGTGGTCAGACTATTTGTTTCCTTCTATACCCTCATTTTTCAGAACCCAAGGTGTTTGAGTTCTTCTTCCTCCAGCCAATTATCCAATTAACTTTAACACACTCTCTGGGGCAACTAGTTGTGGTTCCGGTTTTGGCTATGTGGTCAGTCTGTTCATTTCCTTTTAAACCTTCATGTCCCAAAATCCGCCCCAAGGTGTTTGAGGTTTTTTTTCTCCAGTCATTTATCCTGCTTCAACTTTAGCATGCTCTCCTGTGCACCAAGTTGTAGTTGTAGTTGTGGTTCAGGTACATGGGTGAGAGGACTGCTCTTATTTGGCTACGTCAGCCTGTTGATTTCCTTCTATGACTTCATGTCCTGAAACTCACTTTAAGATAATCTTGTTGTATTAGGCAATTTAGGCACTATTGGTGTTTAAATAGCAATCTAAATCTTTCTTAATACTTCAAAATGTTTCCATATCCTCTCCTCAAGGTACAATTTTAAATACTACATGATCAACTTGTGGTTCAGGTCCCATGGCTGAGAAGGCTACCCGTATTTTGGGTATTTGATCAACATTGTTAAGGACCTGCGTATCCTATTTGGCCAACAGTTACTGTGCTATACACTGCAGTAACAAGACCCAAAATAACCTATTGATCATTAATCTGGTGGATTAAAGCTCAACAGAAAGCAGCTACTCAAGCACTAGGTAGCATACAAAGATAAGCAAACTATGTATCACAGGGGCAATGATAACAACCCATGCAAATGCACTAGTAACTCTGCTAAACCTACCTCCACTGGAAATATTTGTACAAGGAGAAGGTAGGAAAAGCTCATTTAGGTTCCAAAAGTTAACTTAAATTGGAGGGAACTAAACAATTCGGGCATACAACCATAATTGACAAAATCAGACACCCATTCTTAGAAATGGGGATTGACTACCTGATCTCAGAAACATTCTTTATAACATCCTACAAAATTGCAAAGGAGTGGAAGAACTCAGGGGAGCTTACAATGATATGTTATACAGATGGCAAAACAAATGAAAGAACTGGGCCAGCCGTTTTCTGTATAAGCCAGAAATAAGAGCAATCCAACTCATTAGTACACTTCGGTCATTCAAGCAGAGATACATGGCATCAATGCTTGTGCCCTAGAAAATTTTGAAAGAGGTATCAAAAAATCCTCATAAGATCTTACAGCCAAACAGCTATTAAAGCATTAGTATGTAAAAAATCACATCAAAATTAGTCAGTGAATGCACCCAAAATCTCCAAAACATGGGGAATCACAACAACTTGAAGATATCTTGGGTGCCAGGGCACAAAGGGATTTTGGGTAATGAAAAAGCAGACACTGGCCATACGAGGATCTACAAGACCATAGGCCTCGAACCTATACTTCCGATAACAAAAACAAATACTTTAGACTGTCAATTAATAACTCTTTCTACTTTCATTAATAAATAGTTTTTTATGATGATTCTTTTTTATTGATTAAAAAATTAGGTGTAGTGCTTGCCATTAAAACAGTTTGAAGAACACACTGACCAATCAAAAAAATATTTATTGATATATCATTGTAAAATTACTGACCTACGAAGACTAGTTTTAATAAAGAAATAAAATATAAAATATAACCTGGAGATGGTGCACAATTCAAATAAGTGTCAAATCTATTTTAAATGTTGATACATGGACATCATTCCATGAAGTCTTCAATCTGCACAGATACATTAGTTGCTGCTTCTTCTGATGTGCGTCTCTGCAGTCGTCTATTGCCAGGGGCGGTTATCAGTGAGTTTGGCGGGAAGACGGCAGTTAGAAGTACCAACTACCACTTATCCGTCGTTCCGATCTGTCTTCGAAATTTCTACATTGTACTTATCTACTTACCAGACTTTTGAAGTTCCGACGAAGCATCAATGTCCTGCCAATCCATCGCTTTTCTCCTCAGGAGATTCTCTACTCAAGTCCTACACAAACTTATTCCCATGGTGATGGGCGTCAATTGGAATCAAATACAAAAGATTTTGATCAGAAACAGACTCTCCTTACAGAAGAAATACATCATCCAAGCTGCCGTTTGTTTATACGAGGTTTTTATTTATTGATTTTCGATGTTTTTCAAACATGTTTTGATTTATCCTTTCTTTTTAATGTGTGGTGATTACTGACCGTTAGTCTATGATTATTTGGAAATCGTGAGATGCCGTCTTCTTTGTTCAATGTTTTGTTCACTTTGACGTACATAAGTCTTTTTCCATTTAATGATTTAAATTCACCTTTTTCCGCATTGTTATATTATTTAATCATTATAGAAAGATGTTTATTTTCTAATTAGGGATTCTTTCTTTGAGTTGATGGTAGTATTGGTCTGCGAGTCGGTGAACTCATGTTGAACCGGCACAGGGTCACTTACTGGGCCTGTCTGCATTCACAGGACCCTGTGCTGATTCAACATGAGTTCATCGACTCGCAGACCAATACCCATCATCAACTCTAACACAGCCAGTCAAGCTACGCTACTTAAAAGATGTACATAAAACTAACTATTCATCACTATTACTAACATTTGGTTTAACAAACAATGCCTCATTAACAACATAACTCTGACTTACACGAGACAGACTCAACAAAGAACTCTTAGACTTACACCTGACTATTAACGACCTACTCCTTCCAGAAACACTAACAGGCTCCCGCGAGTGGAGATCTGTGCCACCCACAGCACCAGTGTCCTGCCGGATTAAAGCATTAGGAGTTGTATTAAATATTAAATGGTTGCGGTACATAGCACATAAAACTAGCAAACTACACATCACTATTGCTAACATTTGATTTAACAAAAAATGCCTCACTAACAGCTTAACTCCTACTGATGCTAAATTTAAAACAAAAACGAACACATTTGCTGTAATGACTGTGATCAAAACAGTCCAAAATTCCTTAATAAAAACAAAAATACGCTCCCTATACATAAAAGAAGACAGACTCAACAAAGAACTCTTAGACTTACACCTGTCTATTAATGACCTACTCCTTCCAGAAACACTAACAGGCTCCCGTGAGTGGAGAGCTGTGCCGGTTCAACATGATTGTTTCTTCATTGAACTTCACAGCGGTTTTTACATCCTGCATTTTACTTTAGGAAAAGCCTTTTCTAACTTCTCTGAGCAACTCCATGTTTTTTCCCTTATTTCTAATCAATCTAGAATAAACAAATAAGAGAACAGTAAAATATTTAATGTCCATAATACAGATTCCATAAAGTCACAGCAAGCACGCACAGATGACTTAATCTTTATCCTCTTGTGTGGAAGACAGATTGACCAAATTTTTTTATTCTGTCTTGCATTATTCCGTAAAGCACTGAGGGAGGCTGAGGAGTGCCAAGTTAGTTAAGGCCTTTGCTGGTCACTTGGTGGGCAACCGTTGGCCCCTCTGACGGATCTTTGATCTGCCATGAGTCTCGGTTTATTCACACCCTCTGTATGAGGACCAATTCAACAGGCACCAGGGTGGAGTTGATAAGGGCAGATTCGAGTGTGCCGACCAGATGTAGGAGATTTGGGGCCGGCACAGAGACGCTATCTCATGTGCCCAGAGAATCACTCAAAGAGTGAGGAGTGCCTCCAGGCTGCCCTCGAAGCTCCCCCCCAGGCTCCAGATGGGTCGAGTCTCCTGTCTTGAAGTCACTACTAATGAGGATGCAGTAATTATTCCATACCCTCCAGTCCATACCTCGCGGTGGTGTATGAGATGGTAGGCGCGTTGGATGCTGTGGCAGATCTCAAGGCACAAAATTATGGGGTACTGAGGGACCCCTCATGGAGCTGCACCAGAAAAGTCACTTAGTGGTGGTAGCAAGAGGATGCACACCTGAATGTACAAAAAAATTGGTCTGGGTCCTCGGCATTGAGAACTTACCGAGGTTGCTCATCACCCTTTCCCATACAGCCTTGAGGTCATCACCATTGCAGTCATTGTGCAGTTAAAAAACCACCCATCCAGCGGCAACAGCTGTTGATCTACTAAACTTAACGGACCTTGGCAAACTGATGGGGCTCACAAATAGACCTGAGATGCAGGTGAAGTAGGATGAGTAGGCGAGTTATAATAATATTAAATACAATTAATTATGCCTACATTTTCAGTTAGGTTTATTTCAGGTGACTGGAGGGTGTGGTAACTAAGACTTTTAGTTCCAACTATTAGTTATGATTTCCAGAGTGTTTTAAGCAGATTTATGGCCGAAAAGTTATTGTCATATGTCTCAGTAGTGGTTTTTATGATCATGGTTCTATTGCCTAATAACTTTACATCTTGTAATGAATCCGGATATTATTAGATTAATTTTTCTTGGGGGGGGGGGGCTTTTAGTTCTGCCTTAATCTGTGTTAGGTGTTGATTTGTTCTATGTTGGTAGATGGTCAAACACCAATAAAAAATAACACAGTAGCTTTAAAAATTATTGTTACTAATTTGTTTTGTTAAAGGATAAGAAACCAACCAAGGCAGATTTGGAAATACTATCCAGGAAGTTAATTTTTTTTGGTTTGTATTAAAACTTTCCATCCATTTTAGCCTTGTTTTTAAATGTTTGTTCTTTCAGATGTTGTGAATAACCTAAAACTACAATGGCAATGTGCGAAGTTAAATGATCAGGTGTCCAATTTTCCAAATATCTACCAATTAGAAAAAAATATAATCAACGCTTACAAACAAGAAGGGAGGGACGCTGTATGTATTTTTGGATATTTAGGTTTTGTCTTCTAAAAAATAATTTGGCTGACTCATTTGCAGGGTGTCCTTGTTTATGAAGAGCAACCGTTAATATTTGTTAAGGCCTATGATAAGAAATATAAGCACTCATTACCTCTCCACTTTGTGATTCATACAGCCTTACCCGATGAACAGTATTTCTTCTATTCAACAAATTCGGCAAAAAATAATAGCCAGATAGATGTAATATTAATTATGCATTTTTTTAATTCTTTTCGTTAACACTAACTTGCATTATTTTTACAGCATTTTTGTACTGCCCTAGGATATGAAAGTTATAGTTCAATTCCTTTGTCAGGTAAAGATGTGAGGAATTTATTCGAGATAGTAAAACTAAGTCAGGAGGTTACTGTTTCTGATATTCCTGATTTTGATCCAGGTATAATTAATTATATTTAATATGTTGTCTCACATTACCATTGGCCTAGTGCGTTGTTCTATTTTAATTTTTTTAACATGGGTGTTTTTGAGCTAGATACCCAAGTTTTTACCTTGACCATTTTGACATCTATGAATTTTGCGTTACCAGGGAGGGATCATGGGGTAGGTTAGGGTTAGGTTTAGGGTGTTATTTTTTTAAATATTAGTTTTATGCATTTAATGCAGTTAATTTAAATTTACTACTCACACTTGTATGATACCTACTCAACAAACTAAATTTTACAGATTTAATATGGCCTTCCATGCTTAGTTAAAAATAAATATTTTTGCATATTTCAGTAGGTAAAAAGAGTGGAAAAAAGACTACTTTCAAAACTCCTACTTTACTCACACATATTTTCTCTGCTGCATGGAACAATATGTAACCTAAACTCACCTACCTAACCCTAACGCTAACCTAACCAAACAATTACTTTACCTAAACTAACCAAAACCCTTATCCTAACCAAACCAAACAATAATCATAATGCTAACCTAACCAACCTTTCCTGATCTAACACTTACCCTACCTAACTTAACCATAACCTATCTAATTTAACCCTAACTCTAACCTAACAGCTTTTCTTTTTATATATTTCTAATTGATGTGGGTTTAATAGTGTTTCTAAGGCAGCTGAGGTTGCAGTAATTTTTAGTGTTTACACACTGCCTAGGTTTTGGGTAGCTTATGTTAGTTGAACTTTAGTCCGCCAGATTAATTTTTTTAAATCTTATTTCTAATCAAAATCTGGTTGCTTAATAAGGTGTACAATTTTCTTTCATAATATAGTTTGTATAAAATATTAATTTTTTATCTTTATGTTTTTCTTTTTGCAGTTCGAGTAGTTGAAAGAGATGGAGTTGTTGATTTTACATTAGGCGAAGAAAGATGTAAATATGCTGAACAAATATTTCATGGATTAACAAATCTCAATACATTTACGATTCATGTAAGTTAACCACGGTTGGAACTGAGCTGTTTTGCCATTTGTAATGAGTATCAATCTCAGTAATTAATGCTTTTTGTTGCAGGCTGACAGCAAATGGAAAGGTAACAGTGACATCAGCAATAATGAGAATAATCGGTTCCTCACGACTCTCACCTTCACAGTGAAGAAAAGAGGACATTCTGTTGAGAACATATTCAAAGAATTAATCAAAGCCGGAGCAGTAAAGATTCCACTCCCAACTTTCTTAGCCAATATGACAAAAGTTCCCAAAAATAATGTCTCTCTGTCGGAGGATGAGTCAGATGATTCTGTTATGGATAAATCGTACTAAAAATTAAGAATTATACCAAATCTAAGAACTAAAAGAGAACTATAAAACATTTATAGGTTTTTTTAAGAATCATTTAAAAAGAAATATGCTCATACATTAAATAAAATTGTTTATGTTTTGTTTATTGTCCATGTTTTTTGCTAAGAAGAAGAAATAATTTAATTAAATTTAATTATTAATTAATTAAATTCAATTACCATACATTTATAATACAATTCTGCATTTAGAAAATATTGCAATTATATCCATTATAGTAATGAGTTGTTTGTTTTCCAAATATAAATATATACATGTTTTTGTTTGTTTCTTTACATAGGGTAAGAGGCACATCTACAGCTCTCTGCTGCCAAGTTTAAGTTATAAACAAGAACGACAATTACAGTACAATACAAACAGGTACATTATAGATGAAGTAATTAAGAAACATCCAGATACAGCCAAGATAGAATTTGTTTTCGATGTAATTGATATCAGCCATCAAAATTATTATTATTAATGATGATGATGAAAGGTGAAGCAGAGTGTTTACATTCCCCAAGCACTACAGCCCTCTGGCTTACTGTACTTTATCTAATTTCTTAATTCAATTCAATCGACTGGTCCTTCTCTTAAGAAATTTCTGGCTTATTGAACTTTTCAGAGCTTATTAGTTCAGTTCAACTGACCCTGAACCTTCTCTTAAAAAGTTTCTGGCTTGGTGAACTTTTTGAAGTGAAGTTCGATTGATACAAACTTTCTCTTACAAAGTTCTGGCTTGTACCTTTTCCTAGTCCCTTAGTTCAGTTCAATTGACTCGAACATTCTCTTAAAAGGTTTCTGGATTAAATTTTTAATAAAACTATATTACAGAAATAGCCTACTGTTTTCAAAACTTCAGTTTCTTAGCCCTGAGGACGCTCACATACGGTTTTTGGCAGAAGAAAAGACTCCCTTTTATGGTAGTCATTTTTATCATCGGTTCCTGAGATATATTCTTTGTACAGAAGTTTCGTTAATCCACTATTTAAATGTGTAGAGATTAGTGACCGTTAATCGATAGTTATTCAGATATCGTGAGATGTGGTCGGGTACCCCATATACCCGACCGCAGCTCATGATATCTGAATAAACCACTATTTAAAATTGATTATGAAGCAATTAGTAACAAAATTCAGTGTTATGAATTGACTCATTACATTAATTATCCACCTCACATAATTGAATCAATGTTTAGGGCTGACATGTACAGAAATTTTCCAAATTGCCACCCTATTTTTACGGACGGTTCAAAATCGAAGAGGGGCACAGGATATGCATTTTGTGACCCCCAAAGCGAATATGGTAAACTGTTTTGTCTACCAAGTATATGAAGTGTGTACACTACTAAACTTTTAGCTATTTCCAAGGCCTTGGAGTACAGTCGACTAAGAATACACAAAGATTTGCATATTCACAGACAGTTTGAATGCAGCTTCCCAGCTCCGGAATTTTGCCATAGGGAATAATAGATATATATTCTGACTGAGACCGCCCAGAAAATTTACACTCTCATGAGGGGAGGTAAAGAAATATATATATGCTGGGTCAGAGGGAATGCATGTAATGGGAAGGTAGATGAGATGGCCAAAACTCGTAGGAACACAGCTGAATGTACTAATAACTAGAGGGGATTTTGAAAATATTAATAACCGAAAATTTATGGAAAAATGGCAAGATTGGTAAGACTCAGCGTAGGTTGGCAAATATTACCGATCCTAGTTCCCTAAAGTGAGCAAAAAAGTTTGGTTCATTGAAGATGGTAATGGAAAATCCTTTCTTCTTTTCTTTTTTTCTTCTGTACTTTTCCTAGTTCCTTAATTCAGTTCACTTGACTTGGTGCTTCTATTAATAAGTATAAGGCTTATTATTGTAGTTTTCCTAGTTCCTTAGTTTACTAGCTTGATTGTATCCTCTTGAAAATTTTTTCCTTATTGAACTTTTCTGAGCTCTTTATTTCAGTTCAATTGATTTGAATATTCTTTTCAAAAGATCATATTGTAAGTAACTAAACTAACTAGTTTCCTAGTTCCGTAGTTTAGTTTGATTAATTCAATCCATCTCTTAAGAAGTTTCGGTTTGTTGAAGTTTCAGAATTACTTAGTTCAGTTCAATTGATTCAATCCATCTCTTAAGAAGTTCTGGCTTATTGAACTTTTCAAAATTACTTAGTTCAGTTCAGTTGATTTGATCCTTCTCTAAAGCAGTTTTTTGTGTACTGTATGTTTCTTAGTTCCTTAGTTCATTTCAATTGATTCACTCCTTATCTAAAGAAGTTTCAGGCTAATGTACTTTCCCTAATTCCTTAGTTCAAATTATTCGATCCTTCGCTTACCCATGGTGTGTATGTTTTCTCATGTGGCAGTGCTGGTATGTAGCCCTATCTCTTTTAAATTTTTTTTTTAAAAGTCTGGTAGCTTATTTTAATCCACCATATTGATGAGCAACAGAGTACAAGTTTTATTATTACCATGTATAACCAATATACCATTTATCTAGGATTCTTGTGGCCATTAATGATAGTTTACTTTCGATCATTTGCTGTAGGTGTTGGTTTCAGGTTAATTTCTTGTCACAGATTATTCCCAGGCAATTAACCTCATTTTTGAACTGCAACACTTCTTTCTTCAACACAATTACTCTATCATCTTACTCTTTGGATGAGCTCTTTTAATGTGGCGAATTTTCACCTGATTACTATGGCAATATCATTTGGTAAGCCTTGACGATGAGAATGTCATACGAGTTCAATAATTACAACTCTACACTGAGGAAATAACCAAAGACCTTAGATCAGTCATTGGTGATCATCTTCCTAACTGAGTTCTTATAAGTTTTAAGAACCTCAGATTAAAAAATTTAAAAGTTTCCGGATATTAATAGCTCATTATAGTTCTAATGAAACCACTGTTTTATAAGGATTGTCTGACCTTACGGCGCTAAAGACTAACACTTCCGCAAAACATGGCCATTACGAGGGCTTAGCCTATCTTACTTGTTATTTACCGTTATTGACAAATGTTTTGACTCATTTCAGTTAATTGCTTACGTGTTTTGTATTTAAATCTCTATTGCGATCAGTGAATATTAATTTAGGGGCCAATTTTACTCCTAGGTAAAAGTCAGTGTCTTTAACCACTTAGACTTAACATTTCATTTAGTATATTTTTATCGTTTATTATCAAGCCACATAGACATATAAAACAACAAAAAGAGAAATGGACGAACTCAAGAGTGCCAGGCATTGTATACTCACGATTAATGAATGCTTGCCAAAACTGGCAAAAATATTGCTACAGATAATCAGGTAAAAATCAGGGGAGCGATTGGGCTCACCAGGAATCTGAGAAAACACCTACACCATGCTAGTACAACGATGACCCTTCTGGTTATGCAATGAGGAGGAAAAAACTGCGACTTATATTATCGAAGTGCTCAATGGTATTGCAAGTTAGGGTATAAAAATGAACTGGGAAAAAGCAGCAATAACAGTCAATGACTTCTTTCCTAAGAAATGAATGATAGGTTGAATTTAACTAAGAAACCAGGAAAGGTCCAATAACCCCAATAGGCTGGAGTGCTTGGGTGACTAATCAACGCTTTATAGCACTATCATCATCATCAGACCCAACATTGAATATAGCGGAATGTCCCTCGCACCTTTCCCACCTTCGCGACTTACGGATGCCCAAGGTGCCCTCAGTACATTGTGCATCTTCAAGTGGGTTTTATCTCACCTTCCGTTACACCACCGAGAGTAGAAAAGAGCATTTTCCGGTTGGCCGGCACCTTCCAGCTAAGATGCATTTCTATTACAAACCACGACCGGTGTTATTTTGAAGGTGAGACTGATCGCCCACCAGGGAGCTGAAACCCCCTACTGTTTTCACCCGTTTCCCAAGGGCTGTGGGTTCATTAACCCAGGACCCCTTGCTAAGGTAACCCCTTACTTAGGTAGGGAAAGGGGAAGGAAAAGGATGGGAAAATAAGTGGTTTGCTTCCATCATTAGTCAACCGCAGACGCCAGATTGATGGTGGTCTCCTGGGTCTATAGGGAAGTCACCTTATGGGTGAGAGTATGGTGAAAGGCCGAAACACGTCAGACAGACCAGCCTAGTTAGTTATACCAAAATAATCGGTAAGGATCAAATTACATGTCCAACTCCCTCGCACTCGAAAGACACAAGCGTCTGTCTAACCGATGCCTATCAAATAGTTTCTTCCTGAACTCCAGCACTGAAGAAGTCGAGAAGCCGAAACGCCTCAATGATTGGGGACGAACAAACTGCAGGTCTATCACAACAGACCACAATATGTAAATTAAAGTAGTCATTAGTTAGGATAGGCAGACCAAGATAAGGATCAAATTACAGTCTACCACCTCACAGCATAACTCCAAAGGAACATGCTTTTGTCTAAAAACTAGGCCTAGCCCAATGACTGAATGAAATAGTCTCTTACAGGGTGTTATGAGACCCAGCGCTGAAGATATCGAGAAATTGAAACGCGACAGACCAAACCATGGAGGGCAGACAGGCCAGAAATGATCGAACACGACCAAACTGCAGGTCCATCACCCTACAGACCCACAAGAGGTAAATTAGTAATCCTGCGAGGATAGGGCAAACCAAGGTAAGGATCAAATTACATGTCCATAACCCCACAGCATAACTCAAAAGGCATATGCGCTTGCCTAAAAAATAGTCCTAGTTCGACGACCGAACCGATAGTTTCTTACAGGGTGTTAAACTACCCAGCGTTGAAGATATTGTGAAGCCCAGCGCCTGACAGACCAGAATTGATCGGAGACGGCCAAAATGCAGGTCCATCACACTACAGACGACAAGAGGTAAATAAGAATAGTTATCAGCAGACCAAGGTAAGGACTGTTATTACACGTCCATCACCCCGCAGCGTAACTTAAAAGACACATGCACGTTTTTAAAAACTAGCCATATTCTGATGACTTATAAACTAATTCTAAAATCACCCTATGAACAGCACAAAGATAATGTTTATCGATAAAATTTTTAATATTGTTGCAGTTTTGGTATATTTGATGTAAAATAAAAGATTTTAAAGTTTGTGTTTGGAACTGATACTTGTGTACTATGTCGTTCGTGACACTCAAAGAGATGTTGGACGTTTAGTCCTCCTGCATGACCTGAATTACTTTTCTTTTATGAGTGTACTATACGTTTGTCGTTATAGAAGAAAATTTATTTTAGCGGGAAATCTTAGGTTAGTCAAATTTTCCCCGGGTGTGCCCCAAAGCGAAATGACCAAAGATGAGCCTGTTGTCAGTACTAGGGTGGCTGGGCGGTTGCATTAAAGTATAAATAGATTTTGCCGATTGTATTATGACCGGACGTTTGAAATATACAGATCGAAGTAATAAATTGAATGGATTTTCAGTAAATATCGATTATTGTGGATTGAATTGGGGCTAATCCTTAGGAGCGCTTGTGCGGGAATATCGATTTTTAGGCCAAGCCTCACCTTGTGCTTGCGAGTAGAACGTTCTGTACAAAGAGAGTAGCAGACTGTCGAAATGGCCCCAGTATCCCTGTATACGCTCGCTTTCCTTTTGATTCTATTACAGCCTAGTCTGCAAGAAAATAACACTGAGTGCCATGGTAATAGTACGGAAAAAACACCTCTTTTTCCCAAAGACTTATTTTCGATGGAACAAAGGCGTAAGGGAGCCGTGGTTCTTCACATTATCGGCGTAGTCTACATGTTCGTAGCTTTAGCTATAGTGTGCGACGAATTCTTCGTACCCTCTTTGGACGTTGTTATAGAAAAATTCGGAATAACGGAGGACGTTGCAGGAGCGACGTTCATGGCCGCAGGAGGCTCAGCACCGGAACTATTTACAAGTGTAATCGGTGTGTTTGTTTCTTTCGACGACGTCGGTATAGGCACTATAGTCGGCTCGGCGGTTTTCAACATTTTGTTCGTTATCGGGATGTGTGCTATATTTTCACGTACAGTCCTATCGTTAACGTGGTGGCCCCTTTTTAGAGATTGTACCTTCTATTCAGCTTCTTTACTTATTTTGATCCTTTTCTTCAAAGACAATCATATATATTGGTATGAAGCAGCAGTATTGTTTAGTATATATATAGCATACGTTTCATTCATGAAATGGAATCAAACGTTAGAAAGATTTGTGAAAAAACATCTTTACAAGAACAAAGTGACAAGAGTAAGAAGTACAGACCACCTAATGCCAGTGGTGAGTATTTCTTGCAAACTCGTCAACTTTTTACAAAAAATACATTTTTATGCATGAATTTTCGGGCTGTCAAAACCTTTCATTGCTTCTAAGTGCTCGATTCGTTACATTTCTTTTTAGTTCGTATACAGTGATTTTTTTAAATAAATAATCTTTGAATAAGTTTAATGTCGATTGGATATGCGGTGAGCACAAGATTTGGCATGTTTTTTTACAATTTATTTTTTTATTTACGGACAAAGGGTTGGCGGGAAAAACGCACAACTCATAACAAAATTAAACGGCCAAGTTTTTTGCCAGAAAATTCAAACCCAAATATAAAAAAATAAATATTGTTTATGCCTTTTTTTTTCTAACGTCCATATCAGCCACAATGTCGTTTTAATTATGTCTGTGAGTTGTATGTACAGTTCTCTAAAAAGTTTGCATGCAATTGTTTTAATTAGTGATGATAAAAATTAGGAACAATTTAAAGTATGCACAGGTAATCACAGCTGATTAGTCGCTTTTATTTCTAACCATTTACACAAATATCTTTAAAAAAACAAAAACTGATTGATTTTTGGTTCGATTGTTTTGGCTAAGCATCAGTATTGTAATATACCACGGCTTAATAGTTTTAACTGCATTTGTATTTAATAAAATAAAAAGTAAAAGTAGGCCACTGATTTCTCAGATATAGATGTGCTGTTTTTCCATACAACCTTTTCTATTGATTGTTGATTCGTAAGAGCCATTAATTACATAACTTTTGTTAATTAAATAATTCTTAGGAAAATAATCAAGTTGATCGAAATGACCGGTTGCAACACTTACAATAAATTCTAGGCTGTTTCTGTTTTAATATACATTGTGAAATTTTTCATTCTAACTAAAAAGACCATGTGTAAACAAGAAGATCTCTACTAAATATGATCTCCTAGAAAAATAAAGTTTTTTCCAATAATCACTTATTTTTGTTCAATTTTGAACAGTGTAATAAAACACATTTTGATTTGAACTATTACATTTTATACATCAAAATGTGTATTTAACATTACAGTACACTGTTGAGCTTAAAGAAAAAAATTTCCTGCTTTAGAAGAAACAATGAAAAAAAGAAGGAAAAACTGTTATTGACCTTTATAAAATTTAAATGCATCAAAGACTAGTTGTTTATGTATAAATATTTAACAGTTTTGATTATATCTATTTGTTATGTTTGTAGCGTAGATATACGTTATTTTTTAATAGAAATGTTCTATTGTATATTTTATAATTGCCATTCGGTTTTCTCAGAACCTACTATAATTCTTTTGTTTTTTAATCAATGACATGTTTGTTTACTGCTTTTTACAAATAAAGTATCTTTTCCCTTTAATTGTTGTAATTAAAGTTTAGGTTTTTATTGTTAAACTTATGTCTAACAAAGGGAGTCAACATTACCACACAGAAAATCACTACTAAATGTTTGACATCCGAACGATAATTGAAAAGCTGATTTGCTTTTGATTCAACTTTAACAGACTCAACTTAAAAACTTAAGGACGATACATAGACATTAGAGGGCAAACGTCTCTGGACTATGACTAAAAGGATAGTGTGCGTATACTCTCATCAGTTGAAGAAAACAGCTTTACTGTTCGCTTTCAGTCATCTTCGAGAATCCCTACTACTGTTCTGTCTTTTGTCCTTTCTGACATATATGCAATTAAAAAATTTCCGGAAAACTCCTGGTTTGGCGTCATTACCCTTAAATCCTTCGTCAATTCCCAAAAGAACTATAGCTTTCCAAACCATGCTTTATAATCCAACTCTCCGTACCACTCACTAACCGGAAGTTTTCCACAGTTCACCCAATCCCTAAGCCGAAAAAATCACACAAACCTCTGAATTCCTACTGTACTATAAGTTTAGGAGGAGCGACCAATAGTGCCATGTTGTGGACATCATCGCATCCTCCCTTGAAAAGAAAATGCTTCTCGAGGGGTCTTCCTCGATGTCGAACTTTCGATTGAATCGAACCTGGAGTTGCTCTGAAAACTCATGGACATCCACCTTCTACACACTTCCTCATTCTTACATCCTACCTGGCCAACAGGTACTGTTACACCAAACCTTCATTTCCGCAAAATTCAGACTCTACAATCACGAATTTTTAGATCCACCCTCAACAACCAAAACGACTGCTACAAAAATTCCACACTAATCCTCGCGTACATCTTCAACATCTAAAAAGACAGTGGCTTTCAGAGAGTGAGATTAATTAAAATAAATAAATGAAAAGTGCTATCATTGGATAGTTTTGCTCGATTTATTTTTATTTTACCTCCATATGATCTATGTAAAAAAAGAGTTGATGCTGAGTGTTGGTCTGTGAGTGGTGAAGTCACGCTGAACCGGCATTGGGTCACTTATTTGGGTCTGCTTTCACACTCGGGTTTGTTGAACTACTAAACCACATTTCGGCATTACGCCAGCTTCAGTGAGTAACTGTTGGAACTGAAGATGGCGCAATACCGAAACGCGTTTGAGTAGTTCAACAAACCCGCGAGTGAAGACAGACCCAATAATGACCCATTAGAAAATTGGTTGGTTGAAAACTTAGTGAACTTATAAAAATTGCGTAGTTTTCCTACCTGTATTGTTTGATTTAAAACATATCTAAATAATACATAATGAATATATAATTTACTTATTTTATAATAAATGGAAAAAATTGAATGATTGGATTACTTTTAATCATGTTATCAATTACATTTAGTATAATTTTTTTTTTGTTGACAAAACATGGATATTTATTCTTGATTTCATCATGAAGGTAGATGGTGGTAAAGGATGGGGTTGATTTTGTTCATTGCCTCGAAGATACCATGTAGTCATCGAGGTCGTCTTCTTCTATTTTTATCGGTTTGTTCTCCAAAATCATCTTCTTGACTGCATTCGCTGCATCGTTGGCCAGTTTTTTCATTTCGATCGGATAAGCTATCAGTATGACGATAAAAGCCCCGATGGTCGCCCGGATCACTCTTTTCTTCATTCTTCTTGTCCGGCCGTAAACGAATCCCACAGCTCCTCCGGTGGCGATAGCGCCTAACCTTAATCCTATATTTTCCTCTTTCCAAAATATTTGCAATATCCGTTCGAGTTTCTCATCGGCTTTGTTCTGCAATTTCTTCACCTGCTTTCGGAGTATTTTAGCTTCTTCGACGAGGGCGAACAGTTCTTGCCGTGCGCATGTAATCGAGTGCTCCAAAATACCAGGGCTGTTTACTACTTGGCATGATTTACACGGCTTTCTATCTATGTAAATCGGAAGCTCGGTTCGTCTCACTTTACCTTTTGGACGGTCGTCTTTTTTATCAGCTGCGAAGATCACTGCGCTCCCAAGTCCTCTATGGAAAAAGAGGTGCGAGATGAATGTCTTCGAAAACGGTTTTCCATACATTTTGTAAATCGAAGGCGCGACGAAATTCAATTGTTAACAACTCTACAACTGCGAATAATGTTATCACTTTTTGCTAACTCACTTAAAACAATTTAGAATGTAACGGCTTTATTATTTTGGCTAACGTAATGATTTGATGCAAACGTTAAATTTAGATTTTGCCGTAGCTTTTATGCTACCTTAGTAACGAATATACGAATCGACTTTAAATTCTATCAGCTGGTAAAAATTAAAAGGTTTTCATTAAATGCCCATTAAAAACAACAACTATATAATAATGTTTTCAATTTAAAAGTTCTTTTAAGCACAGAACAGTTTGTCACAGGGTAAAATTACTGCATTGGCATTGAGGACTTTTGCCATATAATTTTGGGAGGTGGAACTTTTTCTTAACTTTTTAAAAGCAATTTTTCTCAAATAGTTCTAGTCTCGCTTTTTCGAACTCTCCTACCAAATGTGACAAACAGCTGATCCATTCGCGATCGTCTCCAATTTTGTAAACGATATAACTTAAATAGTTGTTTTTCTTTAATTTGTTTGAGAAAAGCTTTAGCTTTTGCGCCAAGGAGATTAAAAACCAGCAAAGAGGTAAAAAGCCAAGTTGCGCTCAAAGCAGTGGCCTCACCTGGGATAAGATCAGGTTCAAAGTGTGTCTTTTGTCTGGGTCCTTTGACAATCAGGACAGAAAGGAAATGAAGATGATACACTAGCAAGTAGCAGGTTCCTCACCAATACATACACACAAAAAGGTGCAACTGTTTCAAGACAAAACTCACGTGGAGGAACAACAGCCCAGGACGTAAACATGCAAATACCAAAAGACTGTAGTATAGCAGGTCGAATCTTAGACCATTGCCGAGGCAATAAGCATTTGAAAATAAATCTATTTAATCGCTTTGGTCATTAACGATCATTTTTATCTGTCTATGCTGGTTTGGTTCTTCAGACGCGTTTCATTACGCCATATTCAGTGTTTATGATGATGAGGGTAAGAAAGCAAGGGTTTGGCATTCTCCCAAGTACTGCAGCCTTGCGGGTTATTGCTCTGACTTGATTCAATATTCAAGATGGAGACCATTGACTCTTACCACTGAACTTATTTTTTTAGCGTCTTCTTTGTTCAGTAGGTTTGTCAGTTGCTTCATGTTCGAAAACAACATTGGTTGTTTCTTCTTCCTTTTGCATGACCATGATGGGGATATCATTGATTATACCCATGCTGTGTAGGTCTTCCTCAGATTTCAGTGACCGGTGGTCACAAGGAAACAACGAGGATGTAACCTTGAGGATAACAAACCCCGGTTTCTTGGTATCCTCATCATGAATCATAATTTACATAATTTTTAATATGGTTTTATATTTTTTGCGTATATTTTAAGGTTATTATATATGAGTCAATTCGTTTTTTTAATTAGGAAAAGAAAATATCATGCAGGATCGTATTAAATGAGATTAAATATATAAAAAGCTATAAAAATCAAAAAACGCTTTTAGTAAAGTAGGTTACAAAAATTCTTTTGGTTATGGAAAACAATCGATTTCGTTTTAAGCACCCTCTAATGACTTTAATTAC